GGAAATGACTTTGCAGCAGCTCATAGGGAAATACAAGCAGCAGCGGCCCAATTTCACGATACTGGAGACACCGTGGCTTTTCAGCTATGCCAGGCCCACGTGTCCCTTTGCGATGTGGGAAAGAAGCAAGGTCTGGAAGATCTGCAACGGGCAATCAATCTTTGACAGTGGGGATGCACGGACGAGAGTCACGATATAGTCGGATTCAGTCGTGCTCTTTCCGCAGCAGGTGCCCGAGCTGTCATGGTTAGCTTGTGGCCGGTCGATAACAGCACAACATCCGCAATATCAATCGACTTTTATCAGCGGCTTTCGGGTGGCAAGTCACCAGCAGTCGCATTGCAGGAGGCGCAGGCGTCCTTTTTCAATCAGCACGCCGGATCGTGAAGGGCTGATCAAGGTAACTCGAACGATACGTCAGATCCTGCTGTAACACAGCAGTCATCCGTGAGAAGAAGGGCCGTCCAAAGATATATCACCAATAACGAGCAGGCCACACCTACCGACTACTCTCTCCCTATGTTCTGAGACCCGTTGATCTTGATGAGTGGCTAGTAGCCAACGACCAGTCTGAGACATCACACGGCGGAGCAAAACAGGCCATTGAGAATCATCGTTCTGCTGTAAAAGTTATTTGAACTTGATTATGTCCGTGTTCACCCAAATCTTTGCGCCCCGCCTAGACTGGTAGGGCTTAGCGCCCACGCCGCCCTATCTTCAGGTGTTCACCTGAGCGGCCTGAAGCCCTCTAGAAGTCCCCAATTATCTTAGATCCCAAGCCGCACGATCAGGAGCGACAGCCAACGACAAGAGGGAGTCGTAGCGAATGTTGTGTTCAACATAGTAGTCACGCCGAAAGTCAGGGCGTAATGGACCTGTGGTCATCCCGCGACGCTTCAGGATGGTACAGAGAGGCTTGGAGCTAATCAGAAGATTCAGTTGGGATATCTAAAATACAACATGGTCTAGCAGTCCAAAGAGAGTACATCCTCTACGAATAGTGTAGGATTGGAAACGGGAGATCCAACAGCAAGAGCCAGCCTCGTTTTGCCTGACCCGCACTTTAGATACCTTTGAACTAGTTTCTAAACTGAATTAAACTGAATGTAGAAGGCTACCAGGACTTGAAGATAGCTGGCAGAGCATAATAGTTTGCTATAATAAAATAGTTATTAATAGAGGGATGGCCCACAATATACTGATACGCGCTTGTACTACTCCAATCCACTATTTCCCAATTCGATCAATGAAAGCAAGATTGCTGCACTTTTCAGGTTCAGCCCCTACTGCGCCCACAAGATCTCTCAAGCATGTTCCTTCGGCGACTCGTAAGCTTCAGGTATATTGATTGGACGCTTTTGAATATTATCCACCACAGAAGAAACATAGACTTCTCAGCAAAATTCTCTGGGGGCTATGGATGACGATTCATAAAATAACCCACCACGCCTTCATCCGGAACTGAGTCCGCTGCTGTAAGACAAGAGAGTAGTAGCCTCCACACGTGCTCGCTCACAGCAAGAATAAAGTGGATGCCCGAGGGTTTATCAAGCGTTAGTTAATGGAAGCCACTGTCTCTTCTGTCAGGGGCTGGACATACACATGGCATGATTGGTTGGGTTATGTTTTCACTTGTGCACATGCCACCTGGCCTGCCATGGGAACGAAGACACATATATATTATCATGGTATGAAACTCTACAACTCAAACAGAGCCTAACAATGAAACAAACAAATCTAATTCACTTCCTCCTTCTTATATAGCTCTATCCCGCCACTAGAGAATTGACTGCTTGAATTACAATAACCGCACTTAGAGTAGATACAACGTTAGGGAATTATACTGTCGGTACAGCTGTATGGCAGAGCATTGTCACGCGCTCTAGACTCATTTGTGCGAGGTCAAGGTACAGCTTCTTGGGGCGTCTGGAAATATTGTCTCATATTAATGATGACCACATAGGCGCTCTTACAAAAGTGCAATGAAGAAACGTGGGTGACATCTTTAGTCATGAATAACAGGTTAAGTAATAGGAGCGGGCCTTCAAATGCCGAGGTCCTTGCACAGATAGAGCCTTAAACTATGGTTCTCAATGCCTCCTCTGTACTATATGTGTACTCCAACTCCCCGTGCCAATAGTTCTGGGCGGTCGCTTTCGATACCTTTGCAGCCACATCCAGCGCCTCCAAGACATCTTCCGGCAAGGGGCCTTTCTCGAGGTGCTGGAGATTCTGTTCAAGTTGTGCTTGACTTGAAACACCAATAACGATGCCGTCATTTCCCCCGTCCTTAATGTTGAGAGCCGAATGATGGATCAACCAACGAAAAGCAATTTCCAACAGGGTCAACCCAGAGCGCTGAGCGGCGGATTCAATGATACGTAAGGCTTCGAAGAGCTCGTCCTTGAAATAGCGCTTGCGGTAGACGTCTCCCACCTCCCCGTCAACATTCGAATATCGGCCTTCGTTTGGGATCGCATCGACTTGAAGCGACGTATACTTTCCGGAAAGAAGCCCACCTGCAATGGGGTTGTATACAACAATATCTAATCCATAGCGCCGACAAGCCGCAACGAGCTCGGGATCAATACTACGGGTGATGGCATTGTAGACACATTGAAAGACCTGTCATTTGTCAGTCTGTGTCTTAAACAAGCATGTGGGAAGCGAACCGTAGGTTGGACCCAGCTATTAGCTTTGCAGATCATGACCACCTCCGCCAGCTCGTAGGATGTGAAGTTGGAGATCCCGAGCTTGCCAAACCTGCCCTTCTTATGAAGCTCATTCATCTTGCGCAAGGGTTCTTGAAAGGGGACCGTTCTATCGGCGGCATGCAGGTAAAAGATATCAACGTAGTCAGTGCCTAGCTCCTCGAGCGACTTGTTGAACATTTGTTCGAGTCTCTCGGCCTTGTGGGCACCGACCTTGTCTTCGTCGTTGGCGCCATACGGATACCATTTGGTTGCGCAGGTGAGACCGCGCGCTTTCCAATTAGCAGCGCGGGTAAAAGCCTCTTGCTGGCCACCCACATAGCAGCGGGCCGTATCAATTTCACTGTAGCCTTGCGATTGAAAATAATCGAGCACCGAGTTGTAGGTGTCGAGAGAGGTGACGCGAGCGCCAGTTGAAGGGTCGTGACCGCTGTTAGCCATATTAGCCTCGGTGGGTCTGATAAGGTGGCTATTTAAAGGCTTCACGAACTTACAACGTCATTGTTCCCAGAATGACTCTGGCCTTGCCTGTTCTGGGTGACATTGTTGCAAACACTTGTGATGTGTATGGTATGATGTCTTTGTTCGCCATGGTGTTGAGCTACACTATAAATATAAGTAGTAGCTCTGATCTCGGGTCGGATACGATCCGATTCTCGGCCTCGGCTAACGGCTTCGAGAAGCCCGCGAGTCCGTGCCTTTACTCCCATAACACATTCGCGCGCACGTTGAGGTCCAAGATGGATATCCTACAAGGCATAATTTGGCCCGCCTCGCCAACCCTGCCAGCGGCCATGATGGTCACCACCTTATCAGCTACAACAGCGAAACGCCTTTGTCAATCAAGATTATCTCATCGAATACGTTCGTTGTGTGTTGGAAGGAGACAAGAGCTGGGATAATCAGAACTTCTATTGCAGCTGGATCGGCTCAACAGCACGCGAAAAGATCCGCCATTCGGATGGGTTCTTGACGGTCTCCAACACTCAAAACTTTGAGTAGTAGTTCTTGCGCCGAAAGCGACAGTGCAGTAATGGAGATGTCTTTTTCAGTCCACGGTCTTGGTCTCATCCGGATATAACTTCCCGCCCGCTATGATGGAGCCCTGCTGAGCTCGCATACGCCTACCAAATTCGGCGGAAGCCCGGGTACATGAACCCGATCGGGGCGGCGGAGCCACGCCCTTCAGCAATCCTCCTACCGACTACTTATCTATAACACCATGCGCTACCTTGGGTCCTGAACCCGCGGGTTTTGGCGAGGTCTTTTCCACACCCTGTGGTTGTATGTGCTAATTATCTACTCCAAGTCAATGATATCGAGTACTAACAGCATATCGGCCATGATACCCTCAATTCCTCAGCCTCAATCCATGTCAGTCCGCGGACGGCGGACAATCGCTGTCTCATGAAAGATCAGTCGATGGGAGCGTAAATCTCTGCATTTCTGCTGACACGGGCAGAATCATGTCACCAGTATATCCGCACCGCACCTGCCTATGCTTCTTAGAAAAGCTATAACAAAGTTCTTGTTGTTACGTTCAGCTTCATTGTTGAACTTATAGGAGTTGAATGAGATGTTTGATATGTGCCGAAAATGAGCTCAATTAGACTATAGTGAGTATGGAGCTGGATGCGGGGAAAAGGAGTGGGAAGACTTTGGTCCATCTCCGAACCCTAAATCTACTCTACATCAATTCCGTGGTAGATCCATTCGTATTTCGGGCAGTACGATGCAACTTAAATTTTGGTTGCAGTCTAACGTCTCTCCTTTGATGCAATTCTGGGGTCGGTACTGCGGCGAGGTAGATCCTGTCTCAAGCTCTGAACGAGGCCGACAGTCGTTGACCATGGTAAATGAAACGACAATGCCCGTCGACCTCGATAGAGTTCCGAGTATCCTTTTTCGCCGTTGGCCACTGACAGCTAACCTGACCCCGAGGTCAGAGTCTAGTTCGAGGTCTTATCGTATTTGGGGGGCCATCGCGATCGTATTGAAAGCTTGTTCAGAAGCGAAAGATCGAGGTTCCGTTCGATCCAAGGATCAACACATTGGGAAGAAAAGAACAAAGGAATGGCTACATGGTGCCGTTGAGGAGGTGACAATGATGGTATGCCTAGCAGCTATGCAGAGTGCCACATAAATGAAGGCTCCCCCGACTGCCCTACCAGGACTTTTGCCAATGGTGATACACAGGAATGCACTCCATTTGTTCGGGCACTACCAACCCACTCCGATCTAGAGTAGCATATTACAACAAGCGCAAATTCAGAAGAGGAGACAGGTGCCATGACATCGCTCCTGGATGAGATCATCGCCAGTCTGCAGTCCCAGCCGGAACCGCCGACTGGACAAATCCAGACAATGTACGTGGAGAAGATCCGGTCTGCATTTCCTCACGGGGCAGACACAAAAGGACATCTGACGATCCTGGTCGGCGCGGGGGCTTCAATCGGTGCCGTTCAGGCAAGTGAGCTCACCAGCGTCAGCGAGTCCGACAAACAGAAGACCCTGAGCGGACTCAGCTGGGCGGGGCTTCTTCATGACGGCCTCCTCTATCTCAAGGAGAATCACGAGCGATCCTTTGATGCATACGAACAGGCGGAGCTACACATGTATACCAAGATCCTCGAAAGGGTCCTGGGCGGTGCCCCTGCCTCAATCGGCACTCTACTACGGGCCGCTGCTTTCCTCAAAGCAAAGCTCACTGACCGCGGAAAGTTGGTCGAATGGCTGGATACTCGGTTTGCCAAGCTTTATGACAAGTGGGTGGGTGACCGTCCAAATCGACTTCTCGATGCCATCCGCGAGCTATCCGACACCGGAGCCAGAATAATGACCACCAATTACGATGACTTGCTGAGCCGACATTGTCACGCACAATCGATCGTTGCTGCTCAGGCAGGGGAGATGCAACGATTCTTCCAGCGGTCGGATGAGAAAAAACGCATCCTGCATATTCACGGATTGTGGAGTGAACCAGCTGGGGCCGTGCTTGATGGTGTGGATTATTCCCGCGTCATCCAGGACGATCGGCTCAAGAGCTTCTTACAAGCCTGTTTCACGAGTGATGAGGTTGTCCTCTTTCTAGGAACAGGGAGTGGGTTGAATGACCCCAACCTTGGCCGGCTTCTAGACTGGGCCAGTGATATGTTGCATCCAGGTCCCAATGGGCACTTCATTCTACTTCGAGACGAAGAAGAGAACGAGAGACTATTCCTCAACGACCTGAGATATGGACCCGAATATGGAAGCCTTCCTCCGTTCCTTGGCACGCTGAAGAGGGAGAAGAGTCAGAGTACGTAGCGATTGCGAATGATAGCTGCTTTTTTAAGCCATCTAATTCAGATTCGTTTGCACAATGCAATGTCTTTCCCTCCTTTATTCTCATGCTACTTACCTAATGAGATTCTATATTCTGATCCGGATCATGCTCTCTATTCAGACCAATCGACGGCGATACCTTGGCAGTTTCCTGAGGTGTTCCCCTTCAACAAACGCCGCTTTGTTCCGCGAGAAGCACTGCAAACCCAGATCGAGGAACAGCTCAACGTCATGAATGAGCCGAGAGTATGTGCGTTGCAGGGTATGGGTGGCATCGGAAAGACTGAGATGGCACGCAACGTGGCGCTGGCTTTCAAAGACAAATGCCATGTCTTCTGGATTGATTGTCGCACACGGACGGGAATGGACGAGGACTTCCTCGCCATAGGGCCAGCCCTGAATCTGGGTACTGGGTTCTGTGACTTTCGCAATATCAAGAATACCATAGCCAGTCGGGATGACTGGATAATGATCATGGACAACGTGGACGATAATGAAACTCTGATCCATTTGCAGATGAACATGATACCGTCTCCTGTACGAGGGCGCATTCTGCTCACAGGAAGGGTCACCACAATCGGAAATGTCAAGGATGCTCCAGCACTCAGATTCCCAATTATGAGCGCCACCGAAGCGGAGGCCCTTTTGAGGAAACTGATGCTATCTTCGCCGGTTTCAGAGCAAGAAGCACACAAGCTGGTCGAGGTGCTCAAATACCTCCCCTTGGCTATTGAGCAGGCGGGTTGTTACATTCGAGCCACGGGTAGGTCGATTCAGAACTATATGAAGCTGTACGAGGACGAAGGCATGAAGCCCGTGCTGTTGGCATGTCGAGTAGCGGACCCCAACGTGCTTCCCATACTTTCCACCTTCGCAATGTCTTACCAGAGCCTGTCCTCGGATGCGCAAATGTTGCTCAAAGTCCTCGCTTTGATCGGCCCCGGTGGTGTCAGCGACGATTTCTTACAACGGTCTGCAGACACGCACCCATTGGAAAGTTCGCTGGCAAGCTATTTGATTCATGACCACCCCGACACCCCCTTACCGCAGGACCTTTCTTCTCTCCTGAGCAAATCCCATCGTCGTGAGGTTGCCATCGATTCTCTGGTGGAAGTCGCCCTGCTGCAGCGGGTCGACACAAGACTGATAATGCACCCTGTAGGACATCAGTTCTAAGGACGTGTGTTTGATCAGAGCTGATTATCGCACAGATGCAGCTTGAATGGCTCAAAGCCACCTATTTGGAGCCCGCTCGGGACAGCATCTCTCTGCTTGTCTTAGCCATGGTTGCAAACTTTTTTGCAAGTATGACCGACCGGGAATTTGTCCTCCGAAGTAGCTATGTTTATTACGCCCGGACATGCATTGAGATCCTCTCCAAGTCTTACACCAACGCACTCGATGAAGTGACACTGGCGAGGTTGTGCTTCTATCTGGGCCGAGTCTTCTGGCTCGTCCGGGACGACGTAGCGGCTGCTTATTTGTATGAACGCGCCCTGGCAGGAAGTCTGGCGTCGTTGCAACAACCCCACATCCTAACCTTCTGGACTCGAAAGAATCTCGGATTGATTTATATGGAGCACGGTTTTTTCAAGAGTGCCTATGAGCAATTGAAAGACGCGTCAAGCCTTCTGCCTGGGAGCTTTGAGAGAGATCCACTTCCTGAAGCTATCCTTGTCAGCAATGCCGGGCGTGTAGCGAGAGATAAAGTAAGATCTTCACCACACGGTAAGATACCAGCCGCGGACTCTTTTCTGGCCTCTTTCCATACCGAATCCCAGGCAACGGCATATAAATTGTTGATGTCCAGCATTGACAAGAATGTCGAGCAAGCAATGGCACGAAACATGCTCTGGGCAACCGAACCATCATCTCTCCCTATCAGCCGCACGTACGATTCGGGCTGCCGATTCTGTCATGGGGACGAAACAAGGTTGCTGGACCGGGTGAAGCGCATGTTCCGAGACTCGGAACGTCTTAACCTTGAAAGATCACTGTGTGCAGTTGAGGTTCACTTGCAAGCAATATATCGCATCTTACTGGGAGATGCTTTCGGAGCTGCTTCGCTGTGCCATCGTGCTGCCAGCAGCGATTGGAAAAGAAATGCGGCACATACGATTCCCTCCTATAGCTGGGCCCAAAGGATGCTCTTCAAAGTCGCCACTTGTGGTGTTCATACGCGTGTATTCGAGACCTATGGGGGCACTGTGTCGCCTGCCTCGGCAAAACTAAGTGAGGTGTTGCTTGAGTGCAGGATGAGGAAGGACCCATTTGTCGGAGGTTTTGTCACGCATTCCTGGAACGGTACGTGCAATCGACTGTTGCGCCTCGTGAACAGTCATGAAGTACATAATGTTCAAGGCACTAATCATAGACCACCAGGTTTGATAGAACCCGCCTCCACGAAAGGCCTTGCAGCACTTCTAGACGAGTTCATCCACCGTGGCACATTTCTCGGGGAGCTCACACCCTTGTGGAGCCATTGCCAATGGTCGAGCTCATCTTTCCGGACAGGTCTGGCTCCAGTAGCAGACTACGAGTCAGAAGAGGCCATTGCTGCCTCGTACTTCTACATGATATTCATCCTGGCATATCTGCTTGTAGGACAAAGTCATCGCGCACTGGAAATCTTTTGTGAGGTAAATGAAAAGATGAGCGCGTTCCAGCGACGTGACTGAGTACAAACGCAACCTCAGGGCCTGCATCCAGAAGATTTTTGAGCCGCAGCAGACGGCCGAGGTCTGTGAAAACAGGCAGTCCCTGGTGGATAAGCTCCAGAACGTGCGCCAGGTCGAGAAGGTCTAGCTGCAAGAGCCGCACTAAGAAGACTTGAACACATGAGAGGTCATCAATTCGGTACTAAACATAGTGATGAGCAAACGATGACTCCTGATATGTTAACCCGGTGGGCAATGGATTTTATGACTCCTTGGATGTTCTTGAGAACGCCAATATTCTAACGAGCTTAATCGGGTAGCCAGTTGCCTTGAAGTCCAGCTGCTAGAAATTAGGGCACGAAGTTATGCTCTGGTGCGTAGAACGGAGGGGGTAGTGAGTAGAGCACGTAAGCACTAAAAGCAAACCACATCGAATCGAAAGTCGACTTTGTTATGGCGAGTTAGCCTGTTGCAGGGATGCCATTTTCTCACCCTGGTGACAGACACGCTTGGTCCAACTTCCCGCTATAAAGGAAAACTACTCCCGCCTATATATGACCTGTCATCTCCCAGACCTTCTATTCCTCGGACACCTTGTGACAGCTTCACTTCAGCACCAGGATGTTTCTCAGTCCCATCTCGTCAATGGTCCTCGAGACGATTGTGGTGGTCCTTACGCTCGGCTTCACCCCAGCTCAATCAGCTCTGAGGGCCGGGGCACTTGCGCCTCTGTCATTGTGTGTGGGCCACTGCCTCTCAACGACGCTCGAATACTTTGTGCGCACTCCTTGGGCACTTCTAGCGGGCGGATACTCGGTGATGCTGTTGTTTCACCTTATCGATATCGATCTGCTGTCGCGCTGGGAATTCCCCAAGCCCAGCCGTGCCGTCACACTCACAGGATCTGAACACATGAGCTCCAGAGGGACGTCCGACTCAACTAGGACGGCCCGGCTGCGATACGGCGTCTCGGCCTGCTTTAATGCGCGATGCATTGGAACCCCTGAGCAAGTGCGCAACATCCCCAAGCCACTTAATCAGAAAAGAGCGGCATTTCTCCATGAAGCCGCTAGGTTCGTGACCCTCAGCTACATCAGCCTCGACGTGCTGGGGTCAATGGGCGATCCCGAGGTGGGATCTCGCTTTCTAGTCGCGTCCCGAGTGCCATTCTTTCGACGTTTGTCTGATATTACTGCAGAAGACATGGTTATTCGCGTATTCTCTGCGGCTCCTTCAGGCGTCCGCCTTGTATGCAATCAGGGCGGATTCTATATCCTCTTCGCATTTGTCAGCGTGCTTATGCGATGGAGGGAGCGAGCCGCAAGCCTGGCCTTCCTTCTACGGATCCCTATCGGAGGCCTACAGTATTCGCAGGCTCTGGAGGTATGTACCTCATGTCTTCGCAGTCACAGTGGGCGATCAACTGATTCAGGATCCAGTCGCGTTTGGCACCAATCCATCACGCACAAATTCCGCGCGATTGCCCGGTTTGTGGCGGAGGATGTTCTTGGTCTGCCGCCGAATGCGCTGGTGCGCCAATATGGGCATATTTTAGTGGTCTTGGGACTTCAGCTTTGATGCACTTCCGCATTGATTTGTCGATGGGGCTGTTGTTCTCTACCTCCGGGGCTGTGCAGTTTTCTGCACCCAGGCATTCAGCTTGATGGTCGAGGATTTGGCAGTATGTGTTTATGTCTGCGTGTGCAGTTCTCCTCCTGAGTGATATGGTATCGCGAGCAGAGCGCGTCTCTGAATTCCTTTGGAATGAAGGCTTGTTGGCTTGGTCGCTTCCTGCCCATGTTTATCCGATGCTGTATCGGTTCAGCATGGGCCTCAACGATTCAGTGGTTCTAGTGAGCAATTCTTGGTTTAGTTGGAGGGATGATATTTGAGTAGTTATGACTGTAAGGACCGGTGACAATGATGAGAACAAGTGCTGTTGAACTTCCTAGCTTAAGTTCGGATATATGTGAGTAGTGTAGAAAGGTGGAAAGAGAAGCGATTCTCCGCACGGCATCAATGCGGGGAAGGGACGCGGCGGGACAGATCGGCGCGGAAGCAAACAGAGCAAACCGCACAAATCAGGCAAAATGTATTCCGCCGATTGCGATAATCTTCCCCGACGAATGGCTTGAGCATCGCTGACGTTTTCTCTCGTCGCAATCAATCTCTTGATGACATACGCTAGATTTCGTCCCAGCAAACGCAGCGTTCTATCTGTCTTCAGGGCTTCAGCGCCGTTTCTGTCCCGCGATCTCCTTTGCAAAATCCCGAGCGGGGCTCGAATCGTAGCCATGTCGACCTCGACATCGGCGCCCCCGCGCAAATCAATGCCCTCTGCATTGACCTTTGATCTACACGCTAAGTGCTCGGTTAGTGCTTCGTCCTGTCTTTGAATGAGGCACGCGCATTCCTTGGACTCTGGCTAAACTCATATTTCTCACAGACAACAAAAGCACGCGCGAGCACGCTCCACCTCCCCCATGGCGACGTCCCTCTCCCCATCTTCATGCCCGTCGCGACCCAAGCCTCCCTGAAGGGCTTGACGTACGATCAACTCCGCCAGACCGGCTGCCAACTTTGTCTAAACAACACCTACCACCTTGGCCTCAAGCCGGGCCAGGCGGTTCTGGATGCGATTGGTGGTGCGCACAAGTTGCAGGGATGGGATCGGAATATCCTCACGGACAGCGGAGGGTGAGCACATACCACAGGTCCGATGGACTAGTGCTGACAAAAGGCTTCTAGTTTCCAGATGGTGTCTCTCCTCAAACTCGCCCAAGTCACCGAGGAAGGCGTCCGCTTCCTGAGTCCCCACGACGGCACCCCGATGTGTGTATTCCCCGCACCTACAAACCCGATACCTATCTGACAAGCAAGGCTCCTCACTCCCGAACACTCGATCTCCCTACAAAATTCCATCGGCTCTGACATCATCATGCAACTGGACGATGTCATCGCCACCACATCCCCGGACCACGCCCGCATCCACGAAGCGATGGAGCGCTCGGTCCGATGGCTCGACCGGTGCATCGACGCGCACAAATACCCGGAGAGGCAAAATCTGTTCTGTATCATCCAGGGTGGGTTGGATCTGGAGCTTCGCAAACAATGCTGCGAAGCGATGGTTGCTCGAGATACGCCGGGAATTGCCATTGGGGGTCTTTCCGGCGGAGAGGCCAAAGAGGACTTCTGCAAAGTGTATGTGTTTGACTGCCAGAAGAGAGGCGAAAGCTGATGATTAAAGGGTGGACACTTGCACGGGCTTGCTTCCGGAGAAGAAGCCGCGCTACGTTATGGGAGTGGTAGGCAGCAGTGATCCTACTTGTTGAAAACCTTGACCACTGACAGGTTGTAGGGCTATCCGGAGGACTTGATAGTTGGTGTTGCTCTTGGCGCAGACATGTTTGATTGTGTCTGGCCCACACGAACTGCGGTATGTTTCCCGTCTGCATTGAATCAGCAGCCATTAACCTGGAACAGCGCTTCGGTAATGCGGTTGTCCCCAGCGGTACACTGAATCTGCGTCACCGGTCATACGCGGAGGATTTCCGGCCGGTGCAAGAAGGCTGCGGCTGCAGCATCTGCCGGCCCCGGGATCAGGGCGGACTTGGGATCACCCGTGCATATATCCACCACCTCACAGCCAAAGAGACCGTGGGGGCGCATCTGTAGGTTGCTTCTTTCTGACAGTTCAAATAGAATGCTAACTGTATCAGTCTCACCATGCACAACGTGCATTACCTGTTGTCCTTAATGGGATCCGCTCGACAGGCTATCCTCGAGGATCGGTTCCCGGCGTTCCTGCGCGAGTTCTTCGCCAACCTATACGGTGAGAAGTCGAACTACCCCAGCTGGGTAGTAGACGCACTGCGGGGCGTGGGGGTGGATCTCATGGACGATTAGCGCAGCATATAATAGAAGCTCCAGTCAGCGATAGACGATAGTCTAAACTTTTGATACCACATCTTGTGATGTAGACATACAGTACATATTACAGCCGACCCAGCACACATCTATATCCATACCCCCATATCCCTCTATCATACACCCCCCCCACAGCAACCCGCTAAACAACCCTCGCCTCCTCCCTGGGCGGCCTCTCGCCAAAGATCCCCGTCCCCACGCGCACCTGATCACTACCCAGCCTTATCGCCCCCTCAAAATCCTCACTCATCCCCATACTCAACTCCAACCCTTCCTTTTGCAACCCCAACACCTGTACAACCTCATCCCTTACCCGGGTCAACTCCACAAAATCCACATTCTCCTCCCCCGCCTTAACGGCCCGACTCCTCGCAATCGCCCCAATAGTCATCACCCCCGCCAACTTCAGGCGCGGACACTCCTCCCGAATGTACCGACAAAGCTCGACCGCCTCACTGCCGGGCTCCACTCCGGACTTCTCCACCTCGCCGGAGGTATTGACCTGCACGAACACGCGCAACCGCTCCTCATGGTCCTCCGCCCGCAGCGCCGGCGCCCGCTCGCCCCACCCCCGGTTCAGGAGCCCGGCTTTCTTCTTGCTGTCCACGCTCTCGACGGCCCACAGGCCGCGCACCTCCCGCGCCAGCGTCACGCATTTGTTCGACTGCAGGCCGCCGATAAAGTGCCATTTGATACTCCCCGGCAGGAGCCGCGATTTCTCGAGGAGCTCTTGTTGGTAGTTCTCGCCGAAGTGCTGGTGGCCGGCGCCGGTGGGGGGCGCCGTGTGCAGGGCGAGGATGTCGGAGGCGGGTTTGAGTTTGGAGACGGCCACGAGGCGCGGTTCTCTGGGTTGGGAGGAGGTGGTGCTGGCGGCGGTGGTGATGCGGAGGGAGACGGTGGTGAGGTTGCTGAGGAGGGTGGCGGTGCGGGAGGGGGTGGCTGTTAAAGGGCTGGCCATTTTGGTAGTATTGCTGGGGTTTGAGGGCCTGAGGGCCGGTGATCGGGGTTTTTGTTTGAGTGATTCTTGGTGGCTTCTCGAAGAGAGAGGGGAGTAAGTTAAGTTGGTGGTGATATTTGGAGAAGATGTGGTAGTGGTGATGATGCCCCGCTCGGAGATGAGTCAGCGGCATTTTTCCGTATAGTGCACGTGATAAGGAGGTCTATACCATTGAGATGGTGTATTAGCTGTGCACGCGATGAGAGAAGTCATTGTGTTAAGAGGGTGTATAGTTTTGATAAATGAAAGTGATTCTATCACACTGTAGGCCTCAGATATCCACATGACACTTTAGACTTCAGTGCAAAAGATCTCAGTCAGAATATATTATGAATGCTCGAAACTATGAACTGCCAAAAGGTATCTACAACTCTTGCAAGACTCAATCTTACCATCCATTACACGACTCCATCCCCTCAATGCTTGAACTGATCCTCCGTCACACCCTTACCCATCGCCGCGGTGCTGCTGATACCGCCCGTTACCATCTTCAGCATATTATCGATATAATTGGCGCCGCTCCACTTCTGATGCGTCACCACGTCGACGCCCTGCTCGATCTCGGGCTCCTGCACCAGCTCGCCGTACGCGCGCATGCCATGCTGAGCGTATGCCTTGGCAAACTGGTCCGTAATCAGCGCCGTGGTGTGCAGCCCGGCCAGGGTGATGAACTGCCAGCAGTATCCCAGGGCCCCCAGGCGTTTGATGTAGGTTTCCTGCTCGTCGCGGGGCATCGCCTTCTTCCAGTTGAACGAAGGGGAAAGGTTGTATGCGAGTCTATACAGTTTCATCGTTAGCACACCTCGATCAACAAGAAAGGATGTGGGTAAAGGACAACGTACTTCTGCTCGGGCCACACGGCGTGCACCCCATCGGCGAACTCCTTCGCCTGCGCGTAGTCCGGAAGCTTACTCTCCATCCAGATGAGATCCGCGAACGGGGCGTAGGCGACCGCCCGGTTAACCGCACACTGGGTGCCGCCCTTGTACCGGTAGAAGCCCTCGCGGGTCCGCGGCGCATCCCAGTCCCAGTGGATGTCGACGCCGGTGATGCTCTTGGCGAGGGCGCGAGCCTCGCTGTTACTCTTGCCCTTGACCTTGCGCAGGTAGTCCTCGGCCACGGCTTGCTTGTTGCTGTGCGAGCCCTGGTGGATCGCGTCGAGGACGGCCTCGTCGAACAGCTTCAAGCCAGCTTGAGCGGTCCATTGGTCCTCGATCGCCTGCAGGTCATTGCCCGACTTGCCGGCTTGCTCGGCAGCGACCATCAGGTCGTTGAGAGGCTGCAGCTTGGGATTGGTGGAACCGATGATGAAGCCGTGATCCCGGTAGTCGATGGTGGATGTGATGAGGGTGGCGGCTTCCGAGTCCGTTCGGGCAATGGCCAGGAGATCCGTGCCTGCGTTGCTCGCCGTTAGTCCAGTTTTATCAGAGATGCGAGACTGATACGTACCCATGATATCGGCCTGCGCACGAATGGCAACCAAGCGGTTGATGTGCTCGCTAATAGGCACCAACACCTTACCGGCCATGTGGCCACACTTCTTGGTGCCTGGTGCCTGGTCCTCAATGTGGATACCAGCCGCACCCCGTTCGACGAACAGCTTGGTCAGCTTCATCACCGCAGTCAAACCACCATGGCCAGTGTCGGCGTCCGCGATGATGGGCCGCAGGTAGTCGACGTTGGCCACCTTGTGGCGCTGCTCTTTGGGGGTGGTAATGCGCTCCTCGCGTTGTTTCCGGTCGTGGAACAATTGGGCCATGAAGAGGTGGTTGACCTTATTGGGGACAGTGTTCTGGTAGCTCATGTCAGCACGGGAACAAGCCATCTCCATATGTTCCAAACCTACCATAGGATAATCCGCCAAGTCCGGGGAGGGCTCGTCGGTAGAAGAGGCAGTGGAAGAGCTTTGCCAGCCCGATACGTAGACAGTGTCGAGGTATTTGGCCATCTGGGTGACCATCGTGGGGTCGAGACAGCCATAGGTGAAACTGGCCACTTTGTTCTGCGAGCACGACGAGAATGGTTAGCTTCAGCTTCATTTCACTTCCACCCCCTCCTTAGGTCTCGACTAACCTCAAAATTGCTCTCCAAGATCTTCCAGAGCTTCTTGGCTTGCACATTGGATGGGTAGTCGATCGTCAGGTTTCCGCGCTTCGCCACAATCTGCTCAGCAGTGAAAGGGCGCTTGGTATGTCTCCATCGGGAATCCTTCCACCAAGCGTTGACGGCTTGGACGTCTTCCAGATACTTCTGGTCTTCGTCTTCGTGCAGACCCATGATGTGTGAGACGGGAGGGGTGGTGCGAGGGCAACAGGAGGGAATCAGGAAGCAAGCCGAGGCAGTGTATACAGTATAGCCAGTCTACCGATCTATAAGAACCGTGACCAGGGAAAGTAAGACAAGCAAGAAGAACGAAAGTCAAATTGGAGTGGAGAATCCGGAAGGCAAAGAGGTAACCGGAGGGTAAGAGAAGGGTTAAAGTACTGGAACAAACGAGCTTCAATCCTCCCTGGCAATCACGAGCCAAAGGGCCGATATTTAAAGACCAGCAGATGCACACGCGCCATAGTCGGTGCGTCAGAGTCATTGACTTTGGGCCAGTCGTCGGTAAACGTTCGGATCAGCGGGACAAAAAGGGTGGTCGAGCAGACGCACCCGGGCATGTCTCGAAAACTGGGGAACTGGAGAGGTGGACAGGGTGGACAGGAATTAGGTGAATTAGGTTAACCGTGTCCCAGATTCACAGGCCATGGTCGGAGCCAAGGAGCAAGCTGAGTGGTTGGTGGATGAGGTTCGGGAGAGAGGATCACGTTCTGCTGAAGATCCTCGGTCTAAGGGGAGACCCTCCACCTTCCCCCGGGCCTGAGGCATTTCCGGGGCGATTATTCGGTCGCCACGCCGCGGCGATGGATGGTCCTTGGCACGTTTGGGTCGGACAGCGTGGCTTTTTAAGTATGCATGGTAGAGGAGATCAATGATGGCCTAAAGAGTGTATCGAACAATGCCAGAACTGGCTTGACTTGTCGTTTCATGCAAAGTGTCTTGTTCAATGTTGATGCTCGGGAGAGGGAGGAAGAGGAAGTGGAAGAGGAAGTATACGGGGGAGTCCATGACGTCGATGCATGTGCTTCCGGGGGGGGAGGGGAGGGTATCAGCTTACCATACCATACGCGTATTACAGCCCGAAGCTGCAGGCATCAATACGAGAACTTAACCTCGGTCCCGACTGCCTCTCGCCGGCCACAGCCAGCCAGATCCTCTGACTCGTCCAGATCGACATCGACGGCCTGCATATTCGACGACCACGATAAGCACCTTCGGGTATTCAAGGAGCTTCCTCCCGTGATCCCACGATGTCCACGACATTGTTTGATGCGATCCACTGAGGTACTTGCTTAGTTCGTGATGAATCACGGAAAAAATACCTCATCGGATCCAGGCTAGCAACAGTGGGATTCAAATAGAAACGTATTCCATGTTTTATGTACAAGGTAGTAGTCTTTAGTAGTATAAACAAGCATAAATATCCCACTCCGAATTTACTTAAAATTTACTCAAGTTACTTTCGCTTGTCTTTCATGTTCTTGGGTAATGTGCTCGATTCCAACATGTTTGAGAATCCTTTCATGCCCAAACGAATCCTAGAAGTAAAGGAGAGAGGTTCAATTATGGCCTGAGATAAACTGAGATCAGATTTACTTGGCAAACGGGCTAGTGAAGACAAGGACAGCGACCAATGATATTGGTGGTACGCACGCAATCGATTCAATGCTTAAGGCAGTATACCATACCTTGGGACATTCTGCCGTTGCTGGGCCATCGGTGATCTTCTCAACGCAGCAAGACAGCCCTGAGGCCACACCCTGTTACACATTCGACCTTGTGCCAGCCTAGCTACACGCTCGTTGGTTCGTCCACTCAGGAATTCACCTGCCACCTGCCATTGGGAACTGACTCCGTCGTACCAGAAATGTAAACGCTTAGCCGATCACATCTTATGCTTTCTATGGCCAAAGCACAATGTCTCTGAATACGCTTCCTAACGAATTTTTTCTGCAGGTGGAATCAGATATTGAGACGCAAGCCGACCTTGCAGCATTCATTCGAATCAATCACCGAATCTACAAATTGCTTACCCCGTGTCTGTACCGGCGTAATGCATCCGCCGCCTTGCTATACGGGGTCGACCTCAATTTGTTTGACAAGGACCGATACACAGCCCTGTTCCTCGCAGCAACTCACGGACACGCCCCGATAGTCGGAGCTTCTTCTGGCCCACGGGACCAGCCCAAACCTTCAAGAGAGCACGGGCCGCACTGCGCTGTTCATGGCGGCCATCCGTGGCCATACGGCCGCCGTCCGGACTCTCCTCGCCTACCACGACGACCCTCGGCAGCCGGACTTGGAGCTTGACGTGGTCATCAACCAGGGCGAGACCGCACTTCTCGCCGCCGCGCGGCAGGGCCACGCCGAGATCGTGTCATGCTATTCGAGCGCGGCGCCTCTCTGGGCACCGATAGTCGCACCACCGTCCAGCCCGTGCTCCACAGTGCGGTGCTTCACCAACAGCCCGAGCTCCTCCGGCTGGTGGTCAACCGAGACGAGATCGATCCGATCCGGATTTATCGAAACCGGACCGCTCATGGTTTAGCGGTAGCAAACAACGACGAAGATCTCGCGGCTATTCTGTTGACAGATCCGCGTGTCAATCCTGATCTTACCTTGCACCCCGGCGGCAAAACCCCCATGATGCAGGCGATCCTGAAAAACAACGAGAGAATGACCCAGCTCCTGCGCGGTGCGGGCGCCAATCCGCGGATCATGACCCGGCTGTGGGTGTCGCCGGCGATGTTCCTAGAGGCTCCTACACGAGAGGCGCGGCAGGAATTGATCGACAAGCATTACGGCTTCGGGGTGCGCCTGGCACGGGATTGGACGCTGGGATAGGCATCATGTTGAAGTCTCTTGAATACCTTAAGAGGGCGTGTGGCATCGAAAGTCACATGATTTCTGGCAATCGCCACCTAGATCCAAGTACAGGTAGTTATGTACCGTACAACTGGTCTACCCGAGACTGCGGGGTGCGGCAGGGGCAGACCCGGAGATGAATGTCCTCTGATGCATGCGACCCGTTTCGGCTGCGTGACGGAGAATCTTGTCAAGCGGAGCTGTGAGGCATGCGGAGCACCGGAGAAATGGCATGTGAAAGTGCTTTGGTCTCACGCGAGCAGTCCCGCCTCTCAGTCGCGTGCTTCGGCATCAATAAAATGACTCATACCAGCCGCGCTCTTGGACATGCGACAGCAATCTGGCGGGAGTCGGCTTTCTTCCCAGATCACACTACTAAAAGAGCAATTTCTTCGACAAACGCTCTAAACGCTCTATGCCAACAGTCAACACGGTTCAACGCGCTCCCACAATAGAATCAAGGCGCTGAGTAGTCAAAACCTTCCAAATCAAGAGAAAATATATTCCAAATACTTTTAGTCAACTATTTTCAAGATATGTCCTCGAACTTCTAGTATCCATATGCACAACGCTGCACTTTTACTCCACCGGGGTGAAGTATCGCTTGAACCGGTCAATCCGAGTCAACTTCAGCTCCACAATAACCGAGTGACAGCTCATCAGTAAACTGGGAAATCGCACAGTCCAGAAGTTCAAGTAACCTTCCGGTAGCCCACCAATGTGCGCCTTTAGGTGTTCGGGCATGTCGTTGTAGTGGTTGCGCTTGTTGCGCAGGGCCCGCAGAAGATCGAGAACTTTAGACCCAGTATATTTACGCTGCTTGCCCAGGTTTTCCTTGAAATCGCGGGGTAACAGGCGAAGAAAGTCCATGTCTGGACCCATCACACGCGAGGCGACGGACTCCAAACAAAGAAGGGCATCGGACGGAGGGTCACGTGGCTCGAACTCGAAATGATCCGAGACGTCGCACAGGAAGCTGAGGCGGTCGGAGGGTGGCCAGAAGAACGGATGAGTCAGAACGGCGCTCGCGTCGGGTCTGGAACTGGATTAGACTTGCTAGCAGCGGAGAGACAATCAAATAACTGTAACTTACCGTTTGCGTGGGTCCAGGGCCAACATCGATTGGATCAGGTCTTCCGCCTCGAAGGCATATTCCCCTAGCCGCTGAAGCTCATCCAGATTGTAATTGCCTTTGACAATATTGGCCTCCCGCATGAATTTCCCATTCTTGTCAAACGGATGGCAGCCCCTGGTCAAGACGTAATAGAAGACGCAGCCCAAGGAGAAGATGTCGATAGCCCGGGTCGCTCGACGGTTCGTTTGAGGATCGACTACAGCGGGCTCGGAAGATTCAGTGTGCTGAGACTCGGTGCTCATCATGGCCGGAGTCATGTCCTCATCCATCAAAAGCTCCGGTGCTCGCCAACCGGAGGTACCGGCCGCATGTGCTGTAGTCGCGCGGAATGAGCTTTGATTATCCTCCAATTTCTTACACAAGCCAAAATCGGAGATCAGCAACCGCAGCGAGCTCAGGCCCGTGCGACCACGAGGCATGGCGGCCAAGATGTTTTGCGGTTTCAGATCCCGATGAACAATTTTGAGAGAATGAAGGTACCGAACACCCGCAATGATCTGGCGCAAAACGTCGGGCATGTCCATGCCACCTTGAACCAATTGGGGAAAGTCACCCGGACGTTCGACAACGTCCTGCAGCGAGGCTGGGCAGAGCTCCAGGGCAATGTAGAGGAATCCGGCTGCCTGTTCCCGACAGTAATACCGAATGACATTACCGTGGTCATCACTTTCTTGCAACAGGCTGACTTCATGCGATGCAATGTCGTAAAACTCGACCAACATACGCTTCACAGCTACATCTCGGCCATCGAATGATCCCCGGTAAACGACAGTGCCATGGCTTCCATGTCCTAGCACCACGTCGGTGAAGACTTTGAGACGACCAATCTGAAGTACACCATCCATTTGAGTAATCTCGTTCGACACAGTCCGAGTCAGTTGAATGTCAGGTTCCAGGCGTGACTGGGGTTGGAAATTGTTCACTTCCTCTACAACGCGATCTGCCTGCTCATTGGCCTCGCCTTCAGTGGGCTTCTTGCCACGTCTATGATTCTTTCCGCCACGGCGTCCACGGCGAGCCTTCTTCTTCGGCTTCTCTCCGTCACCTTTTTCAGATTCCTGAAGGTTGAAGTCTTCGACATCGTCATCAGCGTCGGGTCCTTGAGATGGCTCGCGAATGCGTACTCGAGGAGTTGTATCAGGCGCCAAGGTGCTGACGGTTTTCTTGGGCTTGGGGGTCATATCACCGGCGGACTGTTGCTCCTCGGAAACGCTCACGTCAACCATGACCTCTGGTGACCCGGTTTCGTCAACCTCTCGCTTGATATGAGGGCCATCGATGACTGGCGTCGACGGCGTCGAGAGCGATGGCTGCCCGTACGACACAATAATGTTTTTCAAGTCCAACTTCTGTTTGGCCAGTTCCTGGATATGATGCGAATTGAACCAGATGAAGGTGCCGAAGAACAACAGCAGAAGCGTGACGAAGATGTCGACCGCATTATCCCAGCCCTTGCGGATGATGGTACTGTGTCGAAGAGCAGGCGGCAAGGCTATTTCGGACGAACTGTGGACGATCCCTCGAGGAGGGGTATCGTTGGAGAAGTCTGCAGACGAAGGTCCCGAGATGCTTGGAATGTGGCGGCGAATGACACGAGGAGCATGGAGGGAGTGTACTCCGGCCAAGGCATCCTGCTGTTGACTTGTGGTCAAACTCGTCAACGGCTGCCCGTGGCGGAGATAATCTTTCTTGTAACATTGTGCCATCTTGGCTCTCCCAGTCACAAGGGGGTACGTCTCCTCTGACATCGCATACCAGCCACCGGCCTCGGTGCAATCGATAAAGACGCGTGAATCGCGATCATCGATCGATCCATAATCAGGATCAGGAGGTTGTGAAGGTTGCGAGAGAAGAACTAGCGGCGTGGGCTGATCAGGCGAGTCACTGCCCACCGGACGAGCCACGTCGAAGACTCGGATGACGGGACTCGAGAAACGTTGAGTGTAGCGGGGGCGATCCATCTCAGAGTGATCGAATCCCAAGACCACGCCATCATGCATGCTGTAAATGAAGCTTTGGTCCATTGTGTTCACATATTGACTCTGGAGGTCAATGTCACGATTGTTGGCCGTCCACTCGGAGTATTTTAACGTGCAAATGGGATCGCCCGTCTCCGTGTTTTGTATCGCTACAGTGTATTCTATTCGACCAAGCACCAAGGTGCCAGAAGGGGTCTCGCACTCCTCTGCATCCCCATCCAGACCATCGACCTTTCGACATTCCTGGCCCGATGAGACAGGACCGCGGGAGCTGAACACCCGGAGAATAGTCCCTGATCTTGCATCGATGGTGTACAGAGTTGTCTCCTTCCGTGCCGTGTAAGTAACGGCGGGGTCGTCCCCTGAATAAGGTGTCTCATCCACAAGTTCCTTCACCGTCAACCCGAGTTTTTGTAAGCCTGCATCCGGGCCAGGGCTGTAGATGTAGAGGCTACCGCCCTGACTCGGCTCCACTATCCAGATAAAGTCGTCCTCCGGTTGTTGTCGATCAAAGCTCGAGCGGTTCGATCGGTGGTAAATACTTTCGACGGTAGGACTACTGGGGACCTCCAAGGCCCAGCGAGCCGCACCGGTTTTGCGGTCACGAGCGTGAATAGAACCGTCGACGGTCGCCAGAAGGACAAAGTCCTCAACCTTCCAGTCCTGCAAAGACCGCGCGTGAAGCTGCGGAGCCAGACCAGCGGAAGAGCTGCTGCTGACTTGGGCAGGAGGGGCTCGAACGGCGCGGCTAGAGCCCGCCAGAGCCATGGTTGCAAGGGCGCTCACATCGTTGGACTTCACATCCGAGACGTATGAAGGATTGCGTCCCGCTGGAGGTCCGTGGGACTGTTGCAGGACGGAAACGGTGGAAGGAAGGTCATATTGCTGTTGAGAATGTCGTTGTTGTTGTTGCCACTGCTGCGGAGTAACAAGAACAGGAAGCAGGAGAAGTGCGACACTGGAAGGAAGGGTCGACTGGGCGCCAGGCAGCCGCCACCGCATGCTGAGAAACTCCTATGATGATAGGGAATGGATTTGGGGAATTGTGGGGGGGGGGGAGGGTTTGTGTAGACGAGAGTGGGAGGATTAGAAAGGGTGTAATGACACGGAGGGTGTCATGAGTCGAAGCTGGCCTCAAAGAGGTGGGAGAAATGCAGAGGAAAGAGAAATAAGAATGGGATGAGATGGGGAAAAAAAGAAAAAAAAAAGAAAAGATGATGATGAGAAAGAAAGGGAGATTCAAAGACAGGGAGAAACGAGGAGGGGGGGGAGGATTATTGAAAAGAAGAAGGAGGAATTGAGTGGATGCATTGGATGACAGGGCGGGAAGGGGAGGGAGGGAGGGAGAAACGGATCTGGCTGGAATGCCCGCAGCGAACAGTAAGTAAGTTAACTTTAGCTGCCGCCTGGGGGTGGGCACGTGATGCACAACTGCTTGTTTGTTACGGCTGGGCGGTTGCTGACGCGTTTGCGCCATTTGCATTGCCTCCCAGCATCCCAGCCCCGACCGGCCCGTCAGCCCTAGAACGGCAGAGTGTGTGGATTGGAATTGATGGGACTTGTGGAGGTGATTAGCCCGCCCGCTCCACGGTCCGGAAGATTGATACTCATTTGGGCTTAGAGTCTCTGTCTGATACCAAATCCGATTAAGGGGGCCAAAAGAAACCTGATCTAGTGCTATCACGCCAACTACCTAGTATTAGTTAGTTACCCTAACCTAGGTACCTTACCTACCTACACATAACACAAGAGGCGCAGCGTCTAGGAGTGAAAAAATTCGGTGCTTACCTTTCTACATGATTCCATCCGAAATTAAGTCAATGTAATCGAGATAATGACAGTCTGAGAGACGTAAGACATTCTGTCCATAGATTAGCCCCAGTTGCAGGGTCGCTCTTCATCCAGGTTTTCCTTCAGGAGGTCTAAATTTCTGATTGCTTTGTCTCAGTGGTGCCATCCGGAGCACTCCACACTTCAATCAATTCTGGGTCTTAAAAGAACAACATATCGCGCTAAGGAGCAAACGGTGCGGGCATTAACAATCATCCATCTGCCGATAAGACGACGATCATCCAAGTAAAACCTGATCTTTCTCGGCACTTTCTACCATCTTAACCAGTGCATCAGCGATGCCGTACGAAAAGGCATAGCCACCACCCGCAAAGCCATAGGCTGACAGAACTACCCGATTTCCATGCCGCTCAGAATCCAGGCGGAAACCTCCTCGTCGCGACGGTCGGATTCCGACAATATAGCTGAGGGCCTCCTCAGAGGGCGACTCCGGGACAATGTCCGGCGCGAGTCGATGCGCCCGCGCAATCTCATCTCGAGCAATCTCCATATCGATCTCTGGCGCGCTGCAAAGAGTCAGCATTCTAGTTTCGCAGACCGAACATCAAACCATGCTTACAGGCTATCTGCTTGTTTCACGCCGCCGAGGACCACACCGTGCGACATAGGACGAGGGATGACATAGGTGTATTCCTGTCCGTTCCGGAAGTACATAGTCCGGCAGTTGTCCGTCTTGTAGAAGACGTTTTGGCCTCGTTCAGGGAAGCACCGATCGTCCCGGACATCCTTGAGGGTCTGGCTCCCAACCCCACTGGCATTGATGAAAATGCTGGACTCGGGAAACATGTGATGCAGTTCCTCAAGAGACTCAACCCGCTTGCGGATGAACTGGCCACCCAGCTCGGTGATTTTCTTACCCAGGTAGGGCATGTGGATCGTCGGATCGGTCACAAGAGTCTCATAGCGCCAGCCACAGCTGAACTCAGAAGGATATTCTCCTGGTTGCAGATCACGCCACTGGCGCGGGGTCAGCTAAAGCAATTGCAGGGGTATGCTAAGTGATATCTATCCTACCTTGGAGAGCACAGTTTTGCCCCATGCCGATGAGTTCTCCGAAGGAGGTTGTTCGAGGTATTCATATGAGTCGACGATGCAAACACCCGAGTCAGGTTCTTCCTGTGCCATTCGAAGCAAATGGCGGTGAGTGACGGCTTGAATGTATTGATATTCGGGACTGATGCCCCCTGCTGCGTGCCATGCTGCACCCGCCCAGGCGGATGCATACCATATGCTTTGATCGCCTGGGAGATATTCTGCCACCAACACTACCCGGAAACCATTTTGCAAGAGCAGTCTCGCCGTGGCGCAACCGATGATTCCAGCTCCAAGGATGATTACGGGACGCTGCGGGAAGGGGACATTTGAGCCACTCGAGGAGTCATGGAGTTGGCCCATCTTGCCCAAGGATGCGAGGATCTTGTGCACTACCATAAGTTCGTGGAGGTTTGGCTGTCCGACCCAGCCGACGCTGGCTTCGTCAAAGAGTTGAGGAAAAGGTGGTATAAGCAAGATTGAGCGAGGGGACCTTCGTCAAGACGGATCCAAGGTACAGTGCAACTCTACGAGAAAGAATCTCGTACTGCTTAATCACACGTGGCGAAGAGCAGTGGCGAGGCTAGCTCATACTGAACAAACCCATGAGAATCATAGCAGAGGACTCGACAGCATATATAATAATTCGGCGAATGCATTTGTCGGACAGACCCGCCGAAGTATGATAACATGGCCTCATGAAAAAAGGCAGTATCTCTGGTTGCGGCGGTGGGCATTCGGATGGAAGCGCCCAGATAGAGGAGTGCGACAGGCGGTTCGACCCGCCCGTCGGGTCCAGCCGCTGCTGGCAAGCACCCTTTTATCCCGATCCTGCTAACAGTCGTTCCTCCTTCGCCTACTCAGGTCGATGGCTAAGACTGCGCTATGCGATAGTCAATCGAGGCCTCGTCAGCAACGAAGGCATCGACAACGCTGATAGGGCGTGTTGCTACAGATAGAATGCCATGCCCGCAACAGGAGGATTGCACACGCGGCCACTCCCGACAAGTGGGGAGCTCCTATTCCGCCGATTGCTCCATTGGTAGCACAGTGACTTTAGAAATAGTTCATCATGCGTATAGTAGTTTGCTGTCGGTGACAGACCGAAGGGGGGCAGATTAGCGAAGTAGGATTGTACAGAAATAGCTCTGAAACGCGTACATGACGCCGCCATATGAAACTGCATTCGTGGTTTGCGTTTGGGAATGTCTTGCAAATCGAGTTTCTGAACGTCCCAGCGGGAACAAGTCTGCTCTGTCAGCTTAAGAAGCTTCTCAGGTGCGGGGATGTGAAGGTGGATTGCAGTGGGGAGGCCTGACAATCATGTTGTTGATGAAGATGGTCGATTGCCTGGCGTGATATTGCATTGTTTGCATCTGCCGGCTAGTGTGGTGGTGTAGCGGAGGCTTAGTAGCTCCGGATATTTCTGCCACCGCCTGAATTGAACAGTTTCCAAGCTTGTTTTTTTCAGGCCTGTTAGCCACCAAATCTGAATTCCTTGCCGCGAGGTTAACTAGGTTCTGCCGGTGGTAGCGGTGATTCAGGCGGCCTTGTCCCTTTCTGCCAGTTTTTCTTGCGACCGCCTAAATTCAACAGTTTCCGGTGTCGTATTTTCAGGCCTGTTCACCCCCAAAATCAGCCTGGAGGGCTGCGGGGCTCGCTAGGTTCTGCCGGCTTGGGCGGTAGTCGAGGCGGTCTAATAAGCTATTCTGCCCTTTACTGTCACGTGCCCCTCGAGTGTCCCATGGAGAAAGCAAGTACGTAATGCCACGGCCGGAAATCGGAGATGTCGTCCAACCTACTCCAAAAATTTTGTTTCACTCAAGAACAGCATGGGATCGATGTGTGCTAGCATTTCTCGTACTACATGCACCCTAGAATCTCCAGATATTGCCTCTGGACCATACGTCATAAAGTGACTGGGTAGAAATAAGCCGAAAACCAGTCTCGGGTACTGTACAGTCCGAAGTTAAATGATCATTCCCTTCACAGTATAACAGGTTTGCTGGGACTTCTCCAATTGGGGCGAACTTGCTCAAAACCACCTGCCTGTGACCCCAACAAGAAATAAAGTGGGTTGGAGGCCTGGACTTTTTCCGATACAGTTTAAAAAAGTAACTTTGAGCTTCACTCCAAAAACACAAACCTGCCTGAAGGGGAAGGCCCCGCATTCTTATTTGCTATTGCCCCTCCCCGCGACCCTTACTTTTTTCTCTCCTTCCTCTCTCCACGGCAGCTCTGGCTTGAAACAACACAACACGATCGGATAATACAAAATGCGATCGACATCAGAGTTGACCAACATGGTGTCCTTGAACGGCGCGCTGCCGGAACTGGCCGAGCAGCAGCCCGAGGATTCCGTCCCCGAGTCGCGCGTCCTCATCATCATGACCGGAGGTACCATCTGTATGCGACAATCCCCGTCCGGTTTCGTACCTGCCCGAGGTTTCCAGGAACAGTGTCTCGCTCGAGTTCCGACCTTTAATGATGGTTCGCACCCGAGCATGATGGACGTGGTGGTGAACGCCGACAAAGAGGTGAAGGGCCACCCGAGTCTGCGCACCCCCGTCACCGCATACGGGCGGCGAGTGCGATACACCGTGTTCGAATTCGAGGAGTTGCTGGACAGTAGCTCGATCGATGCGAAGGGTTGGGCAGAAATCGCCCGGACCATCGAGCGGAACTACACGCGGTTCGACGGATTCGTCGTGCTGCACGGCACAGACAGTCTGGCGTATACGTGCTCGGCGCTCAGCTTCATGCTGCAGAACCTTGGAAAGCCGGTCGTCCTCACGGGAGCCCAGGCCCCCATGCTCGAGTTGCAAAACGACGCCACGGACAACCTTCTCGGATCACTCGTTGTGGCCGGCCACTTCATGATCCCGGAAGTCTGTCTGTACTTCAACAATCGCCTGTTCCGCGGCAACCGATCGTGCAAGGTGGCTGCCAGTGACTTCGCCGCCTTTAACTCTCCGAATTGCCCCCCGTTGGCGGTCACGACGTCGATGCGCACAAATGTTGATTGGGAGTTGGTAAATCGACCCAAGAGCCTGGATCATTTCAGCATTCAGACCAACCTCGACACCACGCACGTCGCCTGCTTGCGGATCTTCCCAGGTATCAAGCCGGAGATGGTGGATGCTGTGCTGAAGCTCGACGGGCTCCGTGGATTGGTCCTGGAGACCTTTGGTGCTGGAAATGCACCCAGCGGGCAAGACAATGCCATGACGAACGTGCTGGCTGCTGCCATCCAGAGAGGGATTGTCATTGTCAATGTCACTCAATGTGAGTATCGCTTGGCCTACACCTGTCGTGGAAACGACCTCTGAATCTAACTTGAATAACATAGGTCTCACGGGAAGTGTCAGCCCCGTCTATGCTCCGGGTATGAGCCTGTCACGCGCAGGTGTGGTCGCAGGACTCGACCTGACTACGGAAGCGGCGTTGACGAAGCTAGCGTATCTCCTGGCCTTGCCCGATTCCACCCCCGAATGGGTCGCGAAGAACATGTCCGTCTCTCTGCGTGGAGAACTGACTGAGGTATCGCAACCTGTGTTCCGTCACCCAGACGGTGCTCTTCCGGAGCGCGTGCAGTCACTGACCGTGCTGGGTTACGCGATTGCCCAGGGGGATATCGAACGGGTGAAGGAGATCGTAACCAGAGAGCATCACTGGCTGCTCAATGACGCCGACTACTCTGGCAACACTCCGATCGTAAGTCGCCCCATCTATCATTTTTCTACTACCCATGCGGGCCAAGACTGACTCTACTGGCAGCATCTGGCGGCAACCTCACCATCTGTCGAGATCCTTCGATACCTCCTGCTCCAGGGTGGCTCAGTACACATCCGGAACCGCAACGGCCGCACGCCGCTGTTCTTGGCGGCCAACGCTGGACTGTCTGAGCACGTGCTGTTGCTCCGGAAGTCAGGAGGACACTTGCATTCTGATGAACGGACGGCGGCGCAGCTGCTCGCGCGACGACGCCCAGCAGTGTGGGGCTTGGCCGGCATTGGACCGCGGGAGGTCAGCGATCGGGAGCTGGAGGAGATCGACGATGAGGGCACTTCTCTAGGACGCACGGCGGAGATTCTGATGGCTGGATCAGCACCTTGAACATAGACCCGATCTCAATTACAGGTGTGCTTTGGAGCTAATGCGGGTGCAAGGACTGGGCTTGACTTTTGGCCGCGTGAACGCTTGATAAAGCAGTGCGGCGGGTGCGAATGACGGCTTGGGTGGGTGCTCGGGCTTATTTCCAGTTATGTCTCTCGTCTCTATAGTTTACAATCTCTAGATGGTCCTAGATTGTCTTGATTATCCTGTCGCTATGCAGTTGTGACTAGTATGAGACAGGCGAGACCGTGGCTTATACATTGCATATTACCCGATCGTGCCAGCACCAGCAATAATACTTTCTCCACTTTCCACTACCAGAACCGCAACAAATGTCAAGATTGATGATCGTATACTTGATAAACAGCCTTCCCCAGATGTCATGTATCACACATTCAACCTCTTCATGGAGCCCCAGATTGACTTCTGCCTGCGATCGTTCTCGTGCCCATCTCAATACCTTGACTCTGTACTTTACTAAGCCAGCCGTCATGAGTGTCACCCCACCGGCAAGGAGCCTAACCAAATGACTGATCTCAATCCGAGGCTACGTTCTCTGAAAGAATCTTCATACATGAATCCACGCGGGACTTATCCATACAGAAAATCAACCGAGCGCATCCCCTCGACTCGACTACGACCGCGACACTACCACCCCCAAGAAGCCAAAAGACAAATCACAATCAAACTTGGTAACTGAAAGCACCGAAATCATAAATTAACCCACCCACAAAACAAAAAATCTATAGGTCTGTAACCCGCACCATAACGCCACAAATATGCACATCATCATCGTCGTCATACATACACCTGCCTAGGTCAGGCAAGCAAAATTCAACGCCCGGTGCTGAACTCGAACTCAAGGCTTAACCAACACACCGCGGTAGCGCATCTTGCCCTGGCGGAGGATCTCCATGGCCTCCTCGATGCCCTCCTTGGTGAGCGGGAAGGTCATGACGGTGGGCGTGATGTTCTTGCGGGCGGCGAACTCGAGCAGGGAGCGGATGCTGTTGCGGGAGGCGACGAGGGAGCCCTGGATGCGGACGCCGCGCCAGACGAGGTCGAGCATGGGGATGCGGGCGGGCTCGAAGGCGACCGTCAGCGGGTAAATGGAGCCGTGGGTGGCCATGAGGGGGATGAGGCTGTCAAAGCAGAATGTTAGCTGGACATCCCATCGAGTTCCTCCGGGGAGAGGGGGGGAAGGCAACGTACGAAGGATAATCCACCGATCCGCTACCGCACAGCAGCAGGTGGTTGACGGGCTTGAAGCCCTCGGGGACGGCCCCGCCGGACCGGAAGACGTGGTACTCGGAGGCGCCGAACTCCATCGCCTCCTGGCGCTTGCCCTCGGAGCTGGAGAGCACGACCACGTGGCAGCCCATGGCGGCGGCCAGCTTGATGGCGATATGGCCCAGGCCGCCAATGCCCATGACGGCGACGCGGTCGGTGGCCTTGATGCCGTACTCGGACAGCACGGTCCAGACGGTGGCGCCGGCGCACATCAAGGGGGCGGCGTTGATAGAGTCATACCCCTCGGGGATCGGGTAGACGCACTTGGCGTCCCAGATGGCGCCGTAGCTGAAGGTGCCGTTGTGGAGGTCGTGGAAGCCGTATTGCTTCTGGTTGCGGCAGTACTGGTCCCATCCTATTTGCCGCGGTCAGAATCTTGTAAATCTGGATGGTAGGGTGAATAGGGCAAGGGTGGTAAGGATTGGGGGGGAGGGGCTTTGGTAGAGCATACCAGTAACGCAGTTATCGCAGTTGGCGCAGACGCTGTGCGTATATCCAAATCCAACACGCGCGCCGACCTTCACGTCGGTGACACCGGGCCCAACGGCCTTGACAATGCCCACACCCTCGTGGCCCAGCACCTGGTCGGCCTTGAGGTAGTGCTCGTCGGTGCCGCAGAGACCGGAGTGGGTGGTCTCGATAAAGACCTCGCCGTGACCGAGCTCGCTGGTCGTCTGGGCGGGCACAATCTTGCCCTCGGCGGAGCCGCGGAAGACGTCGTAGGTGAAGGAGGACATTTTGTGGAATGGGAATAAAGAATGCAGACAAATTTGAGTATGAGACTGTAACCACCTCTCCCTCAAGAAAAGTGGCAGTCGGAGGTTATATAGAAGAATGGCTATCGGGAAGCGGTGGGTCCAACGGGCAAGCTGGGCATCGAATCGAGAGACTCGGTTTCGCAGGGGTTGCGGGCTGGTGGGGCAGCGATTCATCAGCAACTGGTTTCTTTTGTTGTCTCTGATAGATTTTTTTTCTTTTTTTTTTCTCACGCAGTCAGAGGGAAAACTGTCCGTCTTCGGCGGAACAACCAGTCGGGAGAAGTCTCCGAGTATGTGTCCGTCGGTGGGATTTGGCTAAACTCTCCGTCCGGGGGGACGGGTTGGCTGTCTATGAACCTCATAACTTCTGGTTATGTCTCTTCTGGAAACATTATTCCATGATTGATTACGAAGAGTTTTGACGTTAAGTGCATCTCTTTGATGACTTGTGGAGAGACTACCAAATAACTTCCTGCACTACGTCAGAGGTATGGAAGACAAGCACTATGTTAGTGAATTTAAGCTAGAGAATAGTGGCAGCCACGTTTTAACTGTAAACTGTAAGTGGCAGGATTCAAGCTACGCCACAGAACATTTTTTTTTTCTCTCTTATCTCTTCTTATCTCTCTTGGCATTGAACGGCTTGCTGTGCCGCTCACTCGGCCCGATCTCCTCCTTGAGGGCTGCAAGCCGAACAAATCCCGGGTTCGGCATCCCGCCGGCTGTTAAGTCTAAAACTAGCGTGCAGGATTGTGGAGCACTTCCACTGATCCTGCCGCTGGGAGTCCTCCAGAATCTTGGAAACAGAAGGATCCAAGGCGACGTATACGCTGGCCATGTTTCATGCTTCGGGGGCAGAAGATAGTCTGGTGGAGATCGATTCTCACAGGGAGTAAACCTCTGCAAGGATGCATCAATATTTCGAGTCAATGGCATACCGCAGCCGGGTGCAATAAACACTATCATAGTCCCCTACTTACGGACTTGCTGGATCTCTTCCTTGTCATTCAAGCTAAATCCGCGGCAAGCGGTATACAACACAAGTGTAATGTACAAAATCTTCGAAGCATCATTACCTATATAGTGCGAAGAATATATCCTGTTCACAGGACTCCAATACCCCCTTGACAATAGATACAGCCTTGGCCAGCGAACTTGGGTTGATTGCATCGAAGAAGAGCTATAAGTAGGGCCAGTAAAACTATAAATAAAGCTCATGAAAAACATGGCAAACACCCGAGGTTTTTTTCTGCTTTTGTCTTATTTTCCGACATATTTATTCATGCAACGCTTTTCCCCGGCATCAACTCAACTTGATCCTTAGAATGTGAGAGGTCAGACGCACCATCCCATTTACTAAGAAGGCAGAGTCATCTGCACCGGCTGAAACACAAACTTCTGCGCCTGACTGCCATCGGCCGGGGCAGGTTTGATGGTGGAGTCGGCGGCGGTCCAGACCAGTCCATTCGCAGGGTTGCGGACCCTGAATGCCCCCGCGCCAGCGTCCTCGAACGTGAAGGGTGTCGGCTGCTGGGCGACAGACTTGCACGCCGTGTCATCGCAACTGACATAAGGATTGATATTGGTAAAGGCGTTCTTGATGGTGGCGCCGCCGCCGTCGACGGCGTTAATGGCCCATACGTTGAGGTAGTCGTTGGCTTGGTAGAAGCGTAGGTCCCCGGTCGCATGCAGGGTGTCGGTTGTGCCTGCGGGCTGGATTTGGTAGTACGTCACGAGAACGGCTGACGCCGTGTTTATGAGACTCGCGATAAGGCTGATGGAAATCTTCATTGTGTGGGTGAGTCTTATAGGATGGATGGGGGTTGGTAAGGGCGTGGCGATGGAAGGGTTTTTTTATGGAGACAGGCGTGTGTATGGAGAAGGGATTTTAGATGTAGTCTGCGTCATTAAAGGAGAGCGTTGGTGTATTTGTATTCAGGCAGGGGCAGAGCATACGTCTGGTGGCGAAGGACAAAGCTCAAGCGAGTTTAGAGTAGCTAAATGACGTGGATGTACATGAAAGGTGCAACGTTATCATGGCCACCAAACAGAAGAAGGAAGGGGTTGAGCAGCTCTGCATGATTGTGTAACATCACACTACCCTGGTTTCTCGAAGCCCAACAATTCATGTGAAATAAATGCATTGTTGTCTTTCTTAGGCAAGGGATGTGGCTTTTGCACCAACGCCAAGAGGTTATACAGAAGACACTATGACATAATGTATCCTTGGTGCGAGATCATCGTGCTTGGGAAATTTCTATAGCAACACACACAGCAATCAAAGGACATCTACGTCCCTTTATATGATATTAAATTGCCGGCCAGTGGTGTCTCCGCGCTCGTGAATCCGAACCGAAGAGACCCTTAGGATATCACAACATTGCTCCTGCTTTCAGACGCCAGGCAGTCTTGGCGGGAGAAGTGCTTCATGGACCGCTTCGTTTTACACAGAAAGAAATCTGCATAATGAAAGAAGAAGAGACCAAGAAAATTAACTTGAAATCAATTCACAAAATTGAGAGCTCATGCCCGACTAGCGATAAAAGCAAAAAGACGAAGGTCAGCCACACAATTCGGCAGGAACCACTATCGGCAGTCACTTAAGGTCAAGTCTTCCTCATCCCCCCCAGTGCAAGTAGAAGATCCCTCAGAGTTAGGGTCCCGGAAACTATCCTCATAGTCTGGATCCACCGAGCTATCATCATACATGCGCGCTTCCCCGAAGATATTCCACAGGATTGATATGATCCTGGAGTCCTGGGTTGACGGAAAGGAATCCCAACATTCGGTCACGCGTTGAACCTATAATAGTCAGCGCAGGCAATCTCTGGTGCAGACCTTCGATTTCGTAATCTTACCTTCCTCGTCGCGTTCAGGCGAAGGAACGTAAAGCTACAGCGGTTCTCATTGTGGACCAGACCGTAGACCACGGTCAGCATGTCGCAGTCCTGCCAATGGGATTCTTGAACCATGACTAGACGGTTGATATCCCGGCACATTAAAAAGGACTTTCTTTTTTCCTCCATGCCACAGAAAGACCTAATAGTCTCATCTAGAAAAATACGTACGCATGTAAGCTATAGCCCGCGTCTCTGCCTGCTCGTCGTCCTTGTCGGGATCGGCCTCGACCACTATCAAGTGGATGCGAGCGAGTTCCGGCTCGCGGTACCAAAGAGTGTATTCCACCCGGCCGGCCAGAGTCAAGTTGTGTTGTGCAAAGGTATGCAGGAGGTCCGTCTTGCGCGCTAAATTGACCATGCCAGTCTTGGCCCCCTGGACGGTGTTCCCTTCGTGGGCGACTCGTAGCAGGATATAACTGAGCGGGCTGGCCTCACCAGCGTCCGAAAAGCCGTAGGCGTATTCATCCATGAGTTCCCAGATTTCAAGCTTGAGATGGGCTGTCATACCCATCAGTAACTCCATATCTCCTAAATGGACACGAACGAGCCACCCGTGGGAGAGAATTGCGAATGCGATTCCCCGAGGAAACCACCTACCTGGTGCTGGGAAAACGGCATCTGGGAGAGCCAGCCAATCATAACCATCATCTCAAATCGAGATCCCAAAGCTGCGTTGCAGGTCGCGATCCGTCAGAGCCAGAAGAGAGATACACCCCGACACTTCACGGTCTCGCTGCTCCTCCTTCCGGCGAATCTGGTCATCGAGGACGAGCACCTCTCTGTGCTGTGTTTCAACGGACCCCAACCCTTCTTTGAGACTTTGTATCTGGGTGCCTGCTCGTTGGATTTCCGACGCTATCCTTTCGTTGATAGCCCTGCGTCGCCCGATCAAGTCCTGCAGGTTTCGAGTTGCGGACACGACCGACTGTGGCTCCATATCCTCTCGGGACAGACTCGGGACTTGGAGAAACTAGCAGTACTTGTGTCTGGCTCTGATTTCGGTGTCGGATGCTGGTGGAAGCGACGGTATACTCTAGGTTTATCTTGTGGTTACGTTAGAGAAGTAAGAACTTGGTGATCGACGAACTCTTGGAAGAAATCGACAAATGTAGGTGTGCCGGCATGAGAGAAGACAAACGCAATATATGAGGGGCAGAAGTTAGGAACATTCAATCCGGATGTTGTTGTCATCATAACGGACTCAACGGTCATACGGGCTTACGGGCTTCACCGTGATGATGTAGGGCTTACCGAGTCGCAATGCCACACAGGCTTTTATCTATCGCTTCATCCCACCCTTTCGACAATCTGTTTTTCCTCCAACCTTAGCTACCACTACATTTCAGATCAACTCCCATATCTTCCTGACTCACGACACACCCTACATTCACCATGCCGTGGAGAATCCTACCAAAGTCACTAACAGCATGGCTGACCCTGAAGGACGAGGAATTTCACGAACACGTCGGAGATTTCCAGGGAGCCCAGAAAGCCCGGGTGCGACTGCATTTCCAGGGTGAAGCAAAGCAGCTGGGCCACATGGAAGCGCTGATCCGCAACGACATCGACCTGAACTTTGCCATCCAGCGCGAGGCGGCTCTCCAGAACGAGCTCGAAGCCCTTTCCGTAAAGAAAAAGCTTCTAGCGGCTCCCGAGCCCGTGGACGCCACCACCTCGGAGGAAATCCGCTCTCGCATCCGGACCACTGAGGCCGAGCTCCGGACCCTGAACGAGACGATTTGGCGCTTGGAGCGCGGGACGCACGCGGTCCTGCGTCAGTTTCCAGAGGGTCCGCTGCTGCGTGCGGTGAACGCCAACCGAGCCCGCTCGCGCTGGCACATGGCGCCGCTCCTCAAGGAGGACTGCGTCGGGGGCGACGGGTGCTGCGCGCGCAAGTGCGGCTGCTGCACCAAGCCGAGAAGCGAGACCCGCTCGAAGAAGGGACACTGTACGCCCGCCTGCGCGTGTTGCGAGCGCGCTCGCGGGTTCGCGGTGGAACGAGAGGAGAGCTGGGAGCCGACGCGCATCGCCTTTGCCGATGGCTTGGATGAGTGCAGAGATCATATGCAGCGCCTGATGCTGGCTTATTGCTTTGGGTTGCGAGGGATACGGTATTACAACAATGTGGGATGTCAGCATTGATGCTAATTGAGAAGAAGAGAGGGAGGGTCTAGGACTATGGCCGGTGATTAGATGAGCGTTGGGAGACGGTTGTAGTTGCTTTCTGGCTTTGCTTTGGGTACTTCTTGCGTTAGGATGGTTACTATCTTTGCTACCTTATAGACAGTTTTAAAGTCTTGATAATTTGTGGTACATTGAAAAAGCTGTATTGTCTTCCTGCTATATGGTTCTGCGCTGTCGTCTTTGTGACTTCAACGAGTTTGTTTGTTCGTGGAACATTACTCCGTCTATGGCGATAACCTGTTGAAGGGCAGATTTGGAATTTGCTGAGGATGGGTTTATGGGTTTCCCTCGGGAGATTCAGATGCGCTCAGGGTTACATCTACTCACGTGCTCTAAGTTAGTTGGTGGTAGACAAATCATCACTAAAATTCAACCCTCTCTACTCAATGTTTTGTACAAAGATGACCAATATTCAGTTTTCAAGGAGTTGATGGTTACGTCACGGGCATCGGGCCCAGAGAATCGTCAGGGAGAGATTGATTGACAAGCTATTGACGCGTAAAATATGGCCTGGGAAAAAATATGAGGATGAACAGGTGCAAATGGTGATTGCATGAAGGGGACGGACGCTTATCACAGTCAGTGTGGCGCGCTGGGCCGGAAAACAGGATGCTGGAGGGTGGATTATCTTCTATACATGTGGTGACTTTCTAACCGGTGCAACTGCAGCATAGACACCTCAGACTTACTTACAAACGATGGACAATGGTCAGCCAGCCGTCAGCTGAAGATAATAGGATACGATATCCACGACCTGCTCTTCGAACGAGCGGAACTTGATTCCCAGCACATTCTCCGTCGTGCGCGTATCCAAAGGAATGGGAATCGACTGGATCTGCCCGTTATTGGGCAGCAGGCCAGACTCCACCTCATCTCGAAACCTGCGCGCGGTGATCTCCAGACTGTCCTGCCACTCGGTTCCCTGCACCCCTCCCCATGAGAGGATGAAGCCCTGATTTCCCGGGACAGTGGGATCGAGGCAGCGGACGTGCGCGTCGGCGACATCGTCCACATGAACGGCAGAATTGGGGGTGCATCTGTCCCGGGCCTCGTAGACTACCGGACCCAGAACCTCCTGGTTGGATCCCCGCATCAGATCGGCGGGTGTGCGCGCCAGTTCATCGCGTCCGATCACAAACCCGGGGAACAGATGCACCACGTCGAAGGACGGCCGAGTAGTCGCCAGCCACTGCTCTGCCTCGTTCAAGGCCGCCACTTTACTCGATGCATAGGCCTCGAAGGCCGAGCTGTACTCGTACCCCGCGGGGAGGGTCGGAACACGACTGTTAGCGTCAAACACCCTGTCGACGCCGCCACCAGAAATCACGAACGACCACGGCACGATCGCCGCGCCAGACGAGGTGATCACGACGCGCCGGACGGTGCCGGCCTTGTGCGCGGCGGTCAACAGCCCCAGAGTACCGCGGACCGCCGGGTCAATGAAGTGCTCGACCAGGCGGGCGCTATTGGGAGTGTCCTGTTCGAGGTTATTCAGCTGAGTTTGTTGCGGAATCGGCGAGGCCACGTGGATGGCATAGTGCGCGCCTTGAATCGCCTGGTCGTAGGCCCCCTCGACGGTCAGATCCGGCACCTCCACGAACGACAGCCGGTCGTCGTCGGGGTTGAGCGCCTGAATTGAGGGCGTGGCCAGGATCTGCTGGGCCTTGTCGGGGCTCCGCACCGCGGCCCGCACGCGGTAGCCGGCCTCGAGCGCCCGCACGAGCACGCGAAACCCGACGTGGCCGCTGCCTCCAGTGATGAAAACGAGTTCTCCGCTCATCGTGGTAGCGTGAAGTGCATTTATTCTGGCGGAAATGTTAAGAACATGTTAAGAACATGTGAGGGCTTCCCTCCTGGCGTGTATAGCGGGGTTTATATGTAATGTGGATGAGACTTCCTTCTCTGAACTCTTTTGTCAGTAGAACCCACCTGTACCATAGATATCAGATCTCGAATACGACCAACTCGGAACTCTGCTGGTGCTATAAAATAGTGTATCGACATCTTTGATTTGCGGCCAGGCTATCCGAACCAAGGTCCACGCGTTCGTAATTAGGGTTGATCTTGCGGGACGAGATTGAGAATCGCCGGATCTGGGAATCAATACGAGACTTGGATCTACCCTACGGAAGTGAAGTTGAGCCATTGAAGTGAGGCAACTTCCTTTCTTACTTCGACCCTCTCTCTACAGTACATCTGAATCCACAGACGCCGTGTTCAATGCTAATTTTATCGACAATTCCGTCGCCATTGGTGGCGAGAGGGGCGAGCAAATCTCCATTTCCATCAAACGAATTTCTCGGGTAAGTGGTGAGAGCACCTTGCGAACAGGAAGGTGTCCAAGAGCATAGAGGTTTTTATGATGTTTAACCAGCACATACGACCACAGGGTGTGGAAAACAGGGCTTCCCGTCCGCTCAGCCGTACTTAAGCCACCTATTAAACGCGGCCGAGTGGGATATAAGCCCCTTTTCAGTCGCTACTTTAAAAGTAAGTAATACTAAAACTAAGAATAAGTACAGGTAATTTAGATAATACTATTGAAAATATAGATAAGCAGAGTAAATAGAATAAATAAATAAATAAGTAATTAAATAACTAAACAGACAAGCCAGGCAACCAAGCAAAAAGAATTTTAAAATTAAATAGAATATTTAATCTGATTGCCTATTTTTTTATATAATATACTTATACTTAGTGAATAACTTAAAAAGTAATACTATATCAAGAATTAGTATATTATATAATAATAAATCAAGCCTTTCTAAGAAGGACCAGAGATAGAAAAAAGTAGAGTGGCTAACGCCAGGTCAGGTTAGGTTAATTAGAATTTTTATACCTGACTGCCAGGTTATGATTAGGTTAAGGAAAATTTTTATATCTAACTGTAGTATAGCTAAAAATCAGACTGTTAACTATTTTAACTTTTTTTAATACTAAAATTTATCTGCTATATCTTTTTTAGCTTTAGTACAGTTAAAATATATTTAGATTAATAGATTATTAATCTTATTATTTTAACTATTATTTAAAAGTTTATAAATAATAAAAGCTTTCTAAATTAAATAAAAATAACTAAACAAAGGATTAATATTTTCTTAATTTTTATTTTTAAAAAATAATAAGGAATTTTTAGTAGTACAAATAAATTTCAGCTTTTTATAAAATTATTACTTTTATAGTACAAATTATATATAAAAATATATAATTACAGTTCTATTTAGGCTCTATATATTTTAATATAAATCTTTATATCTAATCTAATTAACTTTTTTAATTTTAATAATTTTAATTATTCTGTTAATTTAATTAATCTTTTTAAATTTTTTAAATTCTGATAACTCTAAATACTTTATTAATCTAAACCTGTTTAAGATCCTGTACTATACTATTTATTTAGTTGTTAAGGGAAAATGGGTTAGTGTCACAGTACAGATCTAGCGCACCTATTTAACCTGCTCTACCTGTTTTACCTGTTATATCTGTTCTATTTATTATATCTATTCTATCTGTTTTATTTAATAACATGCTGTTTTTAACTGCTTTATTATATAATCTTTAATCTGCTTAACCTTCTGCCTGCTTCTGATTCTGTTTGTAGCTCTTTAAGCTATGTTTTATTTATAAATCTAAAAATAGCTTAATTTAAATAGTTAGTTAAAAATAAAAAAAAACTAGTTATTAAAATTATTTTATTAGTTCTACTATTTCTACTACCCTACCAGCCTGTATTTTAATACTATATAGCTTTTCTTTTTAGAAATAGCAGCTAATAAGATGTTAGTAATTTTATAACTTTTAATAATACTAAATAGTTTTAAAAAGTTTATTTAGTATATTAGTAAGCACCCTAACAAATAGTTTAACTACTGTAATTAGATTTATATATATACTGTAAAAATCTAAGACTAGTTAAAAATAAAAAAGCCCTTTTTACCTACTATTCTAATTAAGCCTAATAGAAGAAAATTAGAATAATCCAACAGCTTATTAAAGCTACTACAGCCTAAGAGATTATTTCTAAAAAAAAAACTAAGCTAAAGCTAAACTTATTAAAACTATTTAAATTACTACTCTTATAGTAAGTATTCTAATACAGAATCCAAAATCTACTTTTATTATTAAGAAATCCACAGCTGCTTTAGTAGAAATAATTATATTAAGCAATTTTAAATCTTTTATCTCTGCTTTTTTCTCTAAATATCTATCTAATTCTAATAAGTTTAAAGGTGAGTACTCCGACCTTAGATATTTTACTAATTAGATCTAAAGAAAGATAAAGATTAATACTAACTGTTATACTATATCTGTTTTTTATAAGACTTATATTATTAGCTGCCTTGGAAAGAAACTATATAGTTAAGTCTAGCTGTATATTAAAAATAAAAAATATACTTTTTTTAATTATCTTAATATTTTTGTCCTTTTAAAACACTTGTTTGGAGACCCTAATAGGAAATATACTATATAAAATAAATTATTTAATCTACACCAGAGAAACTAGAGCTTTTATTTTTATTTTACTAAATTCTAAAGACTGGCCTGAGAGGCTAAGATATATTCTAATATACTTTATCTAATATTTAAATAAAATATTAGCTACAGCTTTAAATTAATACTAATAAATAATACTTTTTTAAAAGGCGACTACTTAATCCTTACCTATTTTTTATAAAATCTAGAAAACTGCCGTGCCCAGTACTCTGCTAAAAAAAAGACTTAGAACCAGCTATAAAAGCCCCCAGCTAATTCTGTTTTATATACTTAAAAAGACTAGTATAAGCTCTGGAATAATAATTACTAAAGACAATTTATTATATCTGAATATAATCTTATAGATTTATTTATTATATATTACTGGTCCTCTTATCTAAAGACCTTCTGTTGTAACAACAACAGATATTTCTATTATAGATTAAACTATTATTATATTAAAAACTGTTTTAAATCTAATACTAAAGCCCTGTATGCAGTATTTATATAACTTTTATTTTCTAAATTTTATATATATTTTTTTTTTAAATACTGTTTATTTTTTTATTATATAACTAAGGCTATAGTTAGTAAATTAACTTATTTTTAGATTTTATAAATATTATAATCCTATTATCAGTTTTAGTTAGAGTACTTTTACTTTTTTAATTCTAATAAATAGCTAAAAGAATTAAGCCTATTTTAAGCTGCTGACAGGCCGAAGCCCTAGTATAATTATATACTATTTTTAAAACTGCAGTTAAAGAAATTCTAGTTAAAAAAAAACTTTAAAAAACTGACTTAATAGTTATTTCTATTATATTAAACCTCCAAAACCAGAAGATTCTAATATATACTATAATTAACACCAGATGCTTTATATTAAAAGTAATAAATAAAAGTTGGGCTGAAGCCTGCTAACTACTGTTATATCTTTTAAAAATCTATAAGATTATAGTAGGGTTTAATAGTTAATAAAAAAAGTTAGGCTGTATTACCTACTATATCTATATAATTTTAAAAATATATAACTATATTAAAAAAGATATACTGTTTTTAATTATCTAGCTTATATTTTATTTAATTATTATTAGGCTTTTTTAGTTAAAAGCCTATAACCCCTAAATAAAATAGACTAAATATATATTTTAGTTTACCAGCCAGTACTATTAGATATACTATAATATTTTATTAATACTGTAAAAGATTAAAGCCCTGTATAATATACCTATACAAACATACTCAGAAAATTTAGTACTTTTAGAACCTTTAGAAAGAAAAAATATTTATTTTATTTTTATAGTAGTATATACTGTATACACCTGCTAAAAATACCTAATATATATAATTACTATAAACTAGAGTAATAAAATATTAAAAAATACTGCTAAAACAGAAGGACCTGTACTATCTAAAAAGTTTAAGAATTTTAAAAATATTTTTTTTTAAAAAAGCTAAAAGACTACCCCCGTACTAAGATTATAACTATATTATTATTCTAAAGAATAGAAAAATACTACTATTTAGTCTTTTATATAAAATATTTAGAAATAAACTGTAAGCTCTAAAAAAATAGCTTTTAAAAAATTTAAAAAAAGGTTTTATTTATTCCAGCTTGTTGCCAGTCGCCTCTCCAGTACTATTTATTAAAAAATCTAAAAAAAAATTATAATTTTATATTAACTATTATACTTTAAATACTGTATTAGTTAAGAACCGATACTTATTACTACTTATAAAAAAAACTCTAAATAATCTTAAAAAAATACAATACTTTATAAAAATCAATATTATTAGTACTTTTAATAATATTAGGATTAAAAAAAACTAAAAATATCTAACTGCCTTTAAAACCTATTTAAAACTTTATAAAACTTTAGTAATACTGTTTAGACTTACTAGAGCCCCTACTATATTCTAGTACTATATTAATAATATTTTAAAAAACTATTTAGACATTTTTTATACTATATATTTTAATAATATTCTAATATACAGCTGTATTTATTCTAAATATATAGAATATATCTGCTATGTTTTACAGAAGCTATATAAAGCTGGTCTTTATATAAAACTGTTATGGGACCAAGGCCCTGTTATAGAGCTCGGCTTCAGGCACCAGTTGGCACCTAAGGCCTCGCACGCTAAGTACTAAACTAGCACTAGCTTAGCGCACATATAAAAGAATTTCGTACGAACAGATGAAATAGCTCCTCAGCTATTTCTTCTTGTTCTAAGGCACGTTTCGATTAGCACAATCCATCCGTCCCGTAACAAATACTTACAGTAAAAGTATACAGCACAGGCTGTTAGAAAGATAGACTAAATATCTTTTTTTTTTAAAAATCCTAGTAGTATAATATTCTTAGAGTAGGCCCTTAGGGGCATATTATATAAGATGCAGATTTTTATCAGTATTAACAGAGTATTGTAATATTTTTAGTAATACTAGCTTATAAACTGGAGTATATATTTAGCTTATTTTATTCTAGGGTTATAGGCTCTCAGCCAGAGAAGCCTAATAATAATCAGATAAAATATAAATTAGGTAATTAAAAAGAGTATATTTTTTTTAATATAGTTGTATATTCTTAGAATTATATAAATATAGTAGGTAATACAGCCCAACTCCTCTTATCAGCTATTAAATCCTACTATAGTTTTTTAGAATTTAAATGGTATAGCAGTAGCTGGTGGGCTTCGGCCCAGCTTTTATCTATTACTTTTAATATAAAATATCTAATATTAATTATAGTATAGATTAGGATCTTCAGATTTTGAAGATTTAATATAATAGGAATAACTATTAAGTCGGTTCTTTGAAGTTTTTTCTTAACTAGAATTCCTCTAACTGCAGCTTTAGAGATAGTATATAATTATACTAGGATTTCAGCCTGTCGGCAGCTTAGAACAGGCTTAATTCTTTTAACTATTTATTAAAATCAGAAAAGTAAGAGTACTCTGGCTGGAACTAGTAATAAGACTATAATATTTATAAAATCTAAAAGTAGATTAATTTACTAGCTGTAGTCAGGGTTGCACGGCGGGAAGGCAAGCAGTATCTAAGGGATAAGCAGATATAAGATTTAAAAAATAAAAGTTATATAGATGCTGTATATAAGGCCTTTATATTAGATTTAAAATAGTTTTTAATATAGTAGCAGTCTAATCTGTAATAGAAATATTTATTATTATTACAGTAAAAGGTCTTCGGGCGAGGGGACCACCAGCATATAGTAGACAGATCTATAGGATTATATTTAAAAATAATAGGTTGTTTTTAGTAATTATTACTTTAGGATTTGTACTGGTCCCTTTAGATGTATAATACTGGATTAACTGGGGGCCTTTAAAGGCAGTTGCAGGTCTTAGAATTATACTATAAACAGCAGTTGTCTAGGATCTAAAGAAAGTAGGCCAGATCACAGTAATCCCCTTTTAGTAGAATGTTAATTAAAAGTATGTAAACTTAAGATCTTAGCTGATGTTGTTCTCTAATATAGGAAGTAGGACATCTAGGTATATACAGGCCTTTTTAATAAAATATTTAAATTTGGTAAAGAATACTGTAAAATTGTAGTTTTCTTATTGCAGGTAGTATAATTTATTCCAGGCGGTGCAAGCGCGGTCTGGATTGCCGAATAAATATTTAAGTAGTAATAGAATATTAGTAAAATTATTTAGAGTACAGTTTCTCTTTTTAATATAAGGCTGTATCTGGGTATACAGAATCTTTTCTAGACAGCTGGTAATATATAATTTTTGTACTGTAGCAGTAGTATAACAGTCAGTATTAATATTTATTTTTTTTTAATTTAAAAAACAAATCGGCGGAGGTCGGATCGGTCGCCTTTAAACTTATTAAAGTCAGATATATATTTAGAAAAAAGGGCAGAAGCAGAAGATTTAGAAGTAATTAATACAATTACTCCTACTAAAGCAGCTATAGATTTTTTAGTAATAGGGCTGGATTTTAGGTTCTGCACTGGGGTGCTTACTGCAGGGGTGGCAATTTAAACAGCTTTATTATATTTAGTCTGGGCTTAGTTTTTTTTTTTAAAGGTAATCTCTCTTCCTGCAGTGGCTTTAACGAGCTGGCGGTTTAATTCTAGGGCCTGTTTAGCCTAATATACAGAGATATTTTTTTAAATATGTATTGCCTATTAGAGGTTAATACAGTCTTAGTCGGCTTTAACCACAAAGGCATAGACCTGGTTACAGTAGTAGTACTATTTTTTAGGGTTCTTATTAATATACTATATAAATTCTTCTGGGTTATTTAGGATTGCAGGGGGCTGCAGGATGGCTGGCATCTTATCAGCTGCTATTTCTAAAAAAAAAAGCTATATAGTATTAAAATATAGGCTGGCTGGGTAGTAGGAATAGCAGAGCTGGCAGAATAGTCTTAATAACTAGTTTTTTCTTATTTCTAACTGGCTACTTAAATTAAGCTATTTTTAGATTTATAGATAAAATGTAGCTTAAAGAGCTACAAACAGAATCAGAAGCAGGTAGGAGGTTAAGCAGGTTAGGGGTTATATAGTAAAGCAGTTAGAGGCAGCAGGTTATTAGATAAAACAGATAAAGTAGGTATAACAGATAGAACAGATATAACAGGTGAAACAGGTAAAGCAGGTTGGATAGGTATACTAGGTCTGTACTGTGACACTATTAGTAGTTTACTATACTTTTAAAAATTATCTATAATAATTAGATTCTTTTTTATATACAGCTATTTTTAGTAGTATAATAACAGTATAATAATACTATTTTAATAAATAAGCTAACCTGTTTGGTAAATATAGTAGTAGTAAATAAAACTTTTCTAAAGCTAGTTTTAGTTAAATATAGTTATTATAATTTAAGCCTATTCTACTTTAAAGAGGTTATTATTTTTTAAACTATATTATTAATAATATAAATATGTTTCTATATATTTTTAATAATTAATAAAGCTGTAAAATAAACTGTATTAAATAAAACTATACAATAAATTAGTAGCTGATTAGCTCAAGTTTAGTATATAAATTCAAGTCTATATAGATTTTAAGAGTGTTTTAAAAAAGAATAGGTATAATAAAATAAATAACAGTCCTTACTTTAAACTATAAAAATATAAAAAGATTTTTAACTACAGTTTTTTTTTAGTTTTTTTCAATTCCGCCTTAGATCTTCTGAGGGTAATAATTTAAAAAATAAAATTTACTATTATATATATAGTAATAAAGTATTTTTTTATATTTTTTTTATTTTAATAGGATTTTAATAAAAAAGACTTATAGTCTTATTATAAACATCTTAGTCTTTTAAAATTTTTATTAAAATAGTTTTAAATATCCAACTCCTATTTTTTTTACAGGCCAGTATATTCCAGTAATAAGTAGTAATAAATAATATTTTTTTAAAAAATTTCCAGTAGTTTTAATATATGTTTGTATATATATTAACTAAGCTCCAGTACTAATTTAAACACCAAAAATAAAGTATATTTATTTTTTTATTTTACCTTAAAGTATTATTTTAAAATATATATATAAAAGTAGAATTCTTTTAGATATTAATTTTTTTATTAATAGGCCTGTTTAAGCTGTCCTATATTTTCTAAAAATTATAATCTAAGTTATAGAACCACTTCTGGTATTTTAAATATTAAAGAAAAGTTTAAATGTGCTACGGCAGACGCTTCGACATCCCAGCAGTTCGGATGAAGAACAGGGGTATCGCCAGCACAAACACATAATCCGCAAGCACCCCCACAAACATCATGAAGGTGACCGAAAGCGTTGGCGGAGTGAGGTCAGTGAGAAAGACCGGAAGAAGTACGAAGGGGTCTGGGCGGCAAACTTTTCTTTTCGGAAGACAAGATATAACTTATATAATATTAATTTATTTCTGTTAGGGGTTTAATACCTTTATATTTAATTTATAAAATTTAAACCTATTTTTTTTAAAATATTTCAACTGTTCCAATGTAAACCCTAATGTAACTTATTTTTATAACTGCTAATAATCTTATATTTAACTAATAGTATTTTTAACTACAGTAAAATCCTCTACTAAAAGTCTAATAATAAAAATAATAAACTATCAGCAGTAGAAAAGGTTTTTAACTTTAAACTACTATTTAAAAATAATAATTACTATAATATACTGTATTCTATAAATAACTAAAAAGAAAGAATTAAAATTATTAAAAAAAAATAGATTAGTTGAATATAAAATAATAGCAGTCTATTAATTCTAAAACTATTTCTTACTATTCTAAAGATATAATAAGATTTTAAAAGTTAAATATTAGAGGAAGTTTAAGTTGTTGATATCATAACCATTCAGCTAAAAATATACAGACAAGCTGTTGGTAGTTCACCGTGCTCTCAGGGATTACCTATGACACTTTGATAATCTCGTAATTTAAATCTTATAGATATAAATGTATATGAAATATAGTATAATACTCTTCAGTATGTTATAGTCCAAGATGTATAAATAGTCTCGTTAGTGAGATATTAATAATTAAAAATTAGCTATTTTATATGGATTTCGGAGGTGGCTAGCTTGCTTGTGTGGCCAGCCCGCTTGTGGATTACGTTAGGAGCTACCCAACCAACAAGCCTTACTAGCTCTAGCCCCCCCGTCCCCTCCCCTATTTCAAACCATCCTTTTCCCTCAACACTTTGTATATCTAACATATAACTCCATCTGTCTCTGTTCCACCCCAAAACTACAAGAAGAAAGAAGGAGGATGCCCCCCAATATATTCTCCAAGCTTCTCCGTCCCCGCAAAAAGGACGCAGACCCAGATCCCGACCCTCCACCCCGCCGCACCTCCCCGGAAGCCCCCGGTATCCTTGACACCAGCTGCACCATTATTACCCAAAACCAAAAGCAAAGACGGTATAAACTTCCTATCCCGGACCCCGAGCACCGCCAGCGCCAACTCCAAACCCTTGCCACATCATCTGCCAGACCTCAAAACCCACAGTCTCAAAGCGCATTTTTTTCCAAGCTACCACTTGAGGTCCGTAATATTATTTACAGGGAGCTATTTGGTGGGAGGAGAGTGCACATTGATTATCTGTGGAAGAGACCTTCTGCTGTTGTCGCGCGGCCGCCGACGGGAAAGGACAAGGGGAAGAAGGCCGATGCTCATTGGCAATGGTGGCACCGGGTCTGCGCGGTCAGCGATGAGTGGGTGGATGATCGATTCGAGGAGCGATGTGTGGATGCGCTCGATGAGCGGGACGAGACGCTAGCTTGGGGCTGGGAGAAAGCAGCACCCCCGGGAACCAAGTTGCAAGGCGTGGCGGCGATGCTGACGGTTTGTCAAATGGGGTGTGTGTGGCTTTTTTCTTCCTTTTTTTTACCCCTTATTTCCTATTCCCTTTGGTAATCTTGTGTGAGGCCCTCTCTAACTATAGACAAAAAAGATACACTGAATCCCTGCCCATCCTCTACACCACAAATACCTTCGTCACAGGCCCCAGCATGGACACGCCCTTCATCATCCGGCGCCTTCTTGCGCCCCCCTACACAGCCCTCATCACCGGCATGGACATCGCAATCACAATGGCCATGCCATACACTGCGCCTCCGGATCTTCCTGGAAACTGGACGACGGTTTATCCCGCGTTCTTCGATCTGCTGCAGCATTCGTTTTCCGGTTTGCGTCGCCTGCATTTAACTATTTACCTTAACCCATGGGAAAAGAGCAAGGAGCCTGTTACTGAGGAGTCGCTAGAGGGGTTCTTAGCGCCATGGGAAGAACTTGAGGCAAGTCGCGAGTGGACAGAGTTATGTTTTTTTGTGCCGGGGGATTGGTTTGAGCTTCTGATGGGGAGGTTTGAGACGCAGCTGGAGAGGCAGACTGAGAGGAGGTGGGCGTTGAAAAGGACGAGCATTAGGCCGCTGGTGGTGGGGAGTTGTTTCTAAGTTTTAGGTGGGAGTGTATTGTTTTGCTGGCTTATTGATGTACAGATAATAGATGAATAAGTGAGAGGAATTTAGATCAATTCAAAGGTAGACTGTCTAGAGGGTCTACCTGTTTCCTCCCCCCCCCCTTTCTTAAGCTGTCGCCGTCGCCGTCGCCGTCGCAGGCACAGGCGTTCCACTGTTGATTGTGGTGATGGGCCCAGTGGTTCCAATGCACACGTACGTAGAAGCCTCAAGGCCAGCGCAGTCTGTCCCCAATGCGGGATTCCATGAGTAAAAGTCGCTACCAAAATAAGACAAAAGTCATTAGCTCTGTGAAAACCCACCAGACAATCCCAACCAGAAAGATCAGGTAACATACCTAAGCTGAACCCCCGCCTCACTTGCAAGATCATAGCAATCATCGTTGCTCTGCACATCATAAAATCGGAGACACCCGGATACCATCCCTGTCTAGAGGTCACATCCCATCACGTTAGTACATTGCAAAACTATGAGCCGGAGAAGAGTTGGGAAATCATACTTGCGTAGGCGTAGGCGTCACAGGAACCGGATCCCCCGAGGTGATCGTCGTCGCGTATCCCGAGGTCCCAACACACACAAAGACGTTGGCCTGCAGCCCCGAACAATCAGACCCGATGGCCGGGTTCCAGGCGTACAAGTCGGAGAGGGCGACACCGGCGTCTAGGGCAATGTCGTAGCAGTCATTGTTTGCTTGGACTTTGTAGAAGCGGATGCAGCCGGTGGTCATGCCGGTCTGGTTTTTTAGTGTTGATTTTCTCTAGAAAGATGGGTGTCTGGGTGATGGGACATACCTGGATAGGCGAGGGTGTTGCTCCAGCGGTTGTGGTCGTGGTTGCACCTGTACTTGTACTGGTCATGCTGTTGATGCTCGTGGAAGAGGAGATAGTGGTTGTGTCATTACTGGGCACTCCCACGCAAATATACGTATTCACCGCGAGTCCCGTGCAATTTGATCCCAGGGATGGGTTCCAGTCCACGAGATCGGAGGTGGAGATCCCGTTGGCGGTTGCGATCGTTGTACAGTTATCACCCCTTTCGTTTACTTAGCGGCGAACTCACGGGATATAAGGAGGAGATTTCTTACGTTCCCACCAACCAATAGCTCACACAGGTAGAGATAGTACCAGCCGGCGTGGTGGGCGTCGGCAGTGCGCTCACTGACGCCGTCCGCGTGGTGGGCGTGCCCGGCACAGCGACGCAGTAGTAATCGCCGACGACGAGTCCCGAGCAATCGGACAAGACGGCCGGGTTCCAGCTCAGGAAGTCCGACTCGGAGAACGTGCCAAACTCGTCGACGATCAGAGTACAGTCGTCGCCATCGGTGGCTTGGTACCACGCCGTGCATGTGGAGATGATGCCGGTCTGCACGGGAGACGGGAGTGTGGCAGTTGTTGAGGGCATGGGGAGGCTTGTTCCGCTCCAGATGCAGTAGTAGTACCCGGATTGGATGTCAGAGCAGTCCGTGCCGACGGCAGGGTTCCAGGCGATGAACTGCTCCTCAGTGATGTACCCGAGGAATGAGACGATGCTGGTGCAGGTGTCGTTCTTTATGTTCCGATCAGTAAAATAGCATGTTTCTCTGTTGTTCGTGGGCACTTACACTCTCTGTGATATAGTAGTCTTGACAGTCGCTTGCCATGCCGGCTTGTGCGGGACTCGGCGAGAAGGAGGTGTTCATAGCCGGGGGAGCGCTGTACGTCCAGCTGGGATACCACAGCGATGTAGCGGTTCCATTGTCGGTATATGAGGTCTGAGGTGCAATGCCGACACAGTACCAGTAGCCGTAGTAGATGTTGGTGCAATTTTCTCCCACACCTGGGTTCCAGTCCAGGCTGTGACCGTCAGTATCAAGCAAAAGAAAAACAGAAGGAAGACAGATAACCGGTCTTACAAATCATCCAAGTCCATCCATGTAGAGTACTGCGAGACAATCGTCGTGCAGTCGTCGTTCTGCGTCGCCTGGTACCAGTTATTGCCTGAAAAGCGTCAGCTGCAAACGGTAAAACAGCATTGGACACAATTTACGTACAGTAACTGGGCTGCCCCGTCTGTGTTTCACTAGGCGGCCAGTTTGTATTGGTGATTGTGACTGGGTTGGTGGTTGTATTGTACGACAATATGGAGTAAGGCGTCGTCATCGTCGCGGTAGTATTCGCCGTAATCGTGCTGTTGAACGACGAGGTCGGCGTCACTGATCCTGTAGTACTTGTGGGGGTCGAAGCCGAGCTTGTTGTGCTCGACACGACAGCACCAACTCCTACACAGTAGGACACGCCCACCTCCACGAGACAGGTAGACCCAACTGCTGGGTTCCATTCCTCAAATTGTGCTTGAGTGATCCCCAACGCGGTCGTGATGCTCCAGCATGAATCTCCCTCGACAACATCGTACCAGGCATTGCAGGTGCTGACAGTGCCGGTCACGGTCGGCTTGTCGGGACTTGGGAGCACGGAAAGACTGACTGCTGTCGTTGTTGTTGTTGTTGTTGTTGGTGTTGGTGTTGTTGTATCTCGTCGATGGTGAACATGGTAGGCGCCATGATGCCCGCTATAGGCGTACACCAGGTGGCCAAATGCAATACTGAGCAGCAAACTGAGATGCATCTCGCGATTTCTCAAGGTGCTCTAGTTGCGTGCGTGAGAAGATACTTGCAGTTGCATGAGAATAACGGGGTACCTACCCAGCAACAAGTACAGCTGCCTGTCGTGGGGGTCTAGTCATTGAACCCAGTTCTCCGTGCACTGCAATTTTTCAGCCCCCAACTCAATAATAACTCACGTCGTGCTGTGTAAGCAAATGTAAGGCAAAGGTATCATCCCCACACACACTAATCCAGGCACAAACCCCTGAAAACCCCCGAAACCCCCTCCCCGGCGAGGTACGCTTCAGGAAAGTGTCGGCCGCAGGAATCGCTAGGCGGCCCACCTGCAGGGCGTGGAATTTCGGTAGTTTTGGAGGGAGGGTCCTCATCGCATCATCCAGGGTAGAGCTGTGATTGGGCCGTGCAAGTGAGTGGCCGTAATGACACCAGGTGGGTGTGGGTCAGTTCGCATGCGAGATTATGGAGTAGAAAGTGTCGGAGCCTCAGCCAAGGGCCCCCAAATGGTCTTGTCAGCCTCAGCTGCGCTGAACGGTCAGTCAGGGGAAAGCTTGGTGGCGCTAAGCTTCAAGCCCCACACCTAGTGGGGGCAGGGATAAAGTCTTTTGAGTCGATAACAGACTTGTTGTTGTCATTCATTGGCTCGCTCGCTTCCAGGCACCGGCACACACCATCGTCGGGGTCCAGATTGAGACAACGTACCGGGCTGGATTGTCACTACTTCTCATGGCGGCGCCACGTCTATCCACACTGTCACACTGTTTATGAAGGCCTATCGCCTAACTCCGTCCAGGATCCAATTCGACAGTGGCATTTTTGGCATAAGTGAGGTCGTTACCATGGTGAGATAGCACCCCTGACGCCGAACCCTCGACTGAGCAACAACAATGTAGGATAAACAACATCAAGGAAAGAATGCATCACTGTCTGTCAAAGCTCGCCTGACTTTGTTTAGGACCAGTTCCAATAACTCTATTACTTCTAGTTTTAGGTGGACTACTCAGAAGACTACATCTCCAGCATAGACAATAATAAAAATAAAAATAAAAATAAAACCAGTAGTCAAAGTAAAAGCGTGTATTGTCAACGAGCTACCACACCTAACTCCAAGCAGCATCCATCCCGACAGTAGCATTATTGGCATAAGTCGGACTCTTTGCCCGACTCAGATCCGAGCCCAAGGCATTAATGCTGCTCCCATTCGTCGTATCCATGTCAACCGCCCACAGCATCGTCCTGCAACCAAAACGGAGCATTAGCACAAATCCACATATTCCATTATGCGAAGGAAGCCACATACCCGCCCAGGCAATGCTGGTTGGCAAAATCAATCTTCATCTTCATGGTCTCCGCGTCATCGTACGAAACCCACTGGTCCGTGTCCCATGTCACAATCTTCACGGCCGCCGCTTCGTCCAGTGTAACTGTTGCGCCGGCGGCAATGACGGCCTTGATCTCCGCGTCGGAGAGGATTCCCGATGTGGCGGTGCAGGGGCCTGCCTTACCACCGCTTTTAAAGGGGCAGCCGGCGTGCAGGCAGTCGGGGTCGGACATTGTGAAGCCTGTTTGAATTGTGTTAGCACAGATCGATCGACGGGTGGCTGATGGCATACTTCGACCGTAAAATCCAAGACCCAGATTAACCTTCGCAGGGTCGATGTTGTTCCGCCAGAGCAGCTCGAGACTCTGCTCGATCTCGGTCAGGTTCGTGTGGGCGAGGGCGTTGGCGCCGATGTAGGGGTCGTTTCCATCCCAGGTGCCGTGGAGATCGTAGGTCATGATGTTAAACCAGTCGATGATGGGGTCCATGGAGACAATGTCGAAATGCTGCATGTACCAGTATGAGGAGGGCTGAAAACAGTCAGTCGATTGAGTAGCACAGCTCGTTTAGGTCGGACCTCACAATTGTGATCGACAGACCAAACACCAGGCCTGTACCGTCCAGAGCCTTGCGCAGGTTGTTCAGAAAGATTGGATAGTTCTTGTAGTCTTCGGGTCTTCCGTTGCGGTCGTCGGCGGCGGGGTACTCCCTATACCAGTCAAACTTAGTATCTATATCCTAGCTAAAGGGGATACAAGAAGATATGGGTCATACCAATCGATATCTACACCATCGAACCCATTCTGCACCATAAAAGTGATCAAAGAGGCAAAAAACTCTTTTTGGGCTGACTCGGACGCTGCCAGGTCTGAGAAAGTCGTCTTGGTGGGCTGGTCGTCGTCGTTGAAGGACCACCCGCCAATGGAAATCCACACCTTCAAGTCTGGCTGCGTTTGCTTCAGGACTGTTACATTCTGATACAGCGCGGCAACATCAGAAGCCATAGGTGCAATCTGAAAGGAGTCAGGATCAATGGATCCGAATGCGAAGTTGAGGTGGGTGTAGTATCCCAGCGGAATTTGGTTAGGGGTCATGGCTATTCAGACATCAGCAGTGCTCAATGTATACTGCGGGCTTAGATGGGGAAGATACTATCGCAAGCATGTTCAAGATTCCACCCCTCATAGTAGCCCATTGTTCGCGCGTCTGAGGAAGTGCCGCTGCACGAGGGTGAAGACACTGTCGCCGAGCCGCAAAACTCGGATGTCGTCCCTAAAGTCCGTGAGTAGTCGATCGACAGACGGGAAGATTACATGTTTAGCACAAACCACAGAATCCATACTGGCTGCAGCAGACATTCAGGGGACAGGTTGAGGTGTTGGACCACTGCATTCCCCATCCGGGGTCGCACTCGCTCTTGTAGTCACAACTTGAGATGCAGACATCGCTTGCGCAGAATTTCGGGCCTGAATAATCTCAGCTCTTGTGTTCTTCTACAGTGTCGTCGAGTATATACCTAAACCGCAAACTCCACTGCCGCTTGTTAGTGACAATCCTCTGGAGTTGACCTCAGAACATACCTCTTGGAACAACACCCCAGATCACATGGTTTTGTTTCGCTACATGTGTAATCTGTGGTGTTCGCCGCGAGTACAGGACCGATACTTGCTGTCAGCCCAGCAAGAAAAGCAAGACAGGACTTCATAACGGGCGGGCACTGTCTGGGAAGAATGAGGGAGTGTGTTAATCGAACAGCTACCTGAGTGCTAAGGGAAAGAAAGAACACAAGAAGAAGAAGAAGAAGAAGAAGAAGAAGAAGAAGAAGAAGAACAATGGCACCTCCAGCCATACGCTTTGGGTTGTGCAGGCGCAGGCTTTCTGTGTAGCTAGGCATGTGTGTTTGATCATTTGGTCTAAACGTTCCCAGCCATTCACCCTGAATGCATAGTGGGTCATATGCAAACCCCACTTCGATTTGGCCCCCACCGAAGGAGATTGAATTTAACAGACCCTTCATCTCAACTTTCAGCCCCGAGACTCGGCGCTTATTGTGGGGTCTTGCTGTATTGTACCCCCGAAACACCTAGGGCTACGGCCTGCTCGGAACTGTTCGGAAGAGACGATATCCAAGGGTCTACAGAGTAGAATCAACAAAAGGGGGGAAAAAAAGAAAATGAAAAAAGAAAAAAAAAAAACGACTTTCAGATAGGGTTCATATTACACATGGAAAGGTTCGATTATACAGGGGTTGATTCAATTCTCCAGGGATCAGTGCTGAACAAGGTTCAGTCGCTATTGACAGGAAGACGAAGAATCCTTGTTGCGCGACAAGAACAGCCCATGCTTGGGGCTCGCCTTGTTCCAGTACATTTTCAGCTTGCTCATCTTCTTGGGGTCCAGCTCGTCGGCGTACAACGTATTCAGCGTATTCACATCCCCAATAGACGGCCACGTGTTATAACCGTAGGTCGTGCCATCCGCCTTGGTGAGCGTGTTTAGCAACTGCCCATTAGCCGTCGCAGCGCCTGCAGTCGACCCGTAAATCATAATCGAATCCCAGTCCACCACATCCGCCGTCCCCGAATCCCTCCCCCGATTATCCGGGAGCATGTCCAGCGCTGAGAACGGACCCCCGTTCGCCGTCACCGCCGACTGCATGTAATGGCACGCCCGATCCATATCGTTCCCTTTCGCTGCGATCGCGGCGTAGTCCTTCAGGTTCTGACAGTTGAACGCAAACACATTCCGCTGCCCCGTGCCCCCGAAATCTCTCGTCCATAGCGACGGCCGCTGATGCTCGTGCAGTAACCCCCAAGCGTGCCCGATCTCGTGCGCGATATTGCTCATTCCCTTCCCGGTTCCGAAGCCATCGCTGGGATCGAGCGTCATGGAGGGGCCGTCCTGGCCTAGGCCCGCAATGCTGCCAGGCGTGGTCACCAGCTTGTGCTCGTCGTTGTAGCTGATGAGCAGGTAGCTGTCGCGGTTTGCGACGGTGCAGTAGGTGGTCTCGCCCTCTTCCATCTCGAACTTGGCGCTGGCCCCGGCGTTCAGCCACATGCCCCAGGCTTTGGGGACAATGCTTTTCAGTTTGCTGCGGGCGTTAGGATCGGCGAAGCAGTAGGTTATCTTGGCATTAGGCCAGACGCTTGATTTGACGACTGGGTAGCCGCGCTTCTGGAAGGTGGCGGAGGTACGGTTACTGTTTGAGTGGGATGATGTGGTATCTGTGCTTGCCGTGTAGTGTCCAATTGAGGGACAGCTGGATGCGCTCTGGAGGACGAGAGAGCCCACGAGGAGATGTAGTACCGTCTTCATTTTGCTCTGGTTCTTTCCCTTCGGATCGGATCGAACAGCTGTTTAGCATGGGTTTTGAATTGGGATGGAGGGAAATCAAACCTGGGTTTGTACTGGCAAAGTCAAGTCTGGGAGTGCTCCCAGTCAACTGACAGAAGTCTTCTTGATTTCTATTTGGAGCCATGACCCTCCGTGGCTGTTGTCGTGGTGCGTGGCATTTGTGCCAGTGCCCTAGCTTGGGGGCCGCCCTCGGAGATATTGCTCGCTTTGGTTTATTCCTCTCAAACAATAGTTAATGTACTAGTGCTGACACTATCCGCCGCTAAATTAGCTTGTCACTGACTCGGAAGCGTAGACAAACGTGCCGTTTCAAATCAGTAATAGGGTACGAGAATAGCGCTTACTGGCTTTGATTACACATCCACGGCAGGGTCACTTCGGCATAGAAGACTTATGAGCTGTAGACTGCGCGGCGCATGTTATTGCAGCTGTTTTTTTCTTCCCATCCATCGTTCTGTCTCTGAGAAGCAACGATGTATCTGGGCGGGTTACTCATACTGTCTGCCTCAGCAGCAGCCACAGCGCTACAGAGTGACATTCTGCTTAGTCGCGATACCTCCACCGATCCAGAAGACTTCTCCTGGATCAAAACCTGGGCTGCCGTCGGCGACAGCTTCACAGCCGGCATTGGATCGGGGAATGTGTACAGTTCCAAGAGCGATGACAAGTCCTGCTCGCGCTATGACTACTCATACCCGGCCATCATGAACCAGTTCTTTGGTGGCTCCGTCAGTAACTTCACCTATGCCGCCTGCTCAGGTGCCACGTCTGTGGATATTGCCAGCCAGATTGAGGGTCTGTCATCAGGGCTGGACTTTGCAGTGATGACAGCTGGAGGAAACGATCTTTGCCTAGTGAGTATCCACCCCCGAGATAGTCGAGAGAGAGGGAATAGGGATTGACTATTGCTAGACCAGCATCATCACCAAGTGCATCCTGAACTCGGTCACCAGCGAATCCACCTGCCAAAATGCCATGAGCTCCGCACAGACAGCCATTGACAGCATCCTGCAAGACAATGTCGCCTCTCTCCTGACGGCGCTGGACGCGAAGATGGCCAAGGACGGGATCATCGTCCTGGCCGGCTATGCGCAGTACTTCAACAACGAGACCAGTGACTGCACCAACAATCAAGACTGGGTGTTTCCCGGCCAGGCCGGAAGTACCAGTCTCCTCCTGAGCACCGCGCACCGCACCAGCTTCAACACCCTCGTCCAGAACACCAACGCCAAACTACAAGCGGCTGTGGCCCAGGCCGCCAAATCCGCCAGCTCGACCATCGTCTTTGCCGACTGGGACGACTGGGGCGCCGCAACCAGCGGCCGCTTCTGCGAGTCGGGCTCTTCGCCAGACCCCGAAGACTCCAGCAACGATAATGTTCTCTTCTTCAAGCTCCCCACTTACAAGACCTTCAACCCGGGCACCATCTACAGCCGAGACTTCTGGGACTCGTCCTCTATGCTCGAGATCTCCTCGGCAAACACAACCACCACCTTTGAGCAAGAACAAAAGAAGGCAGAAGAGTACGCTCAGCTTCTAGAATGGGCCAGCGAGCCCCTCGTCAAGCGCGACTCGTCTCCGACTGCCCCAGCCTGTACCAAATCCTCCCTCTCAAGCCTACTTCCCGACGGCATTGGCAAAATCTTCCACCCCAACAACATCGGCCACGAAGCGCTTGCTTCCTACGTTACCTGGGCGATTGCCAATGCGCGCGCCAAGATCTTGAAGGTCGCCTCGCCCGCCTGCACAGCCGTCAACGAAATCAAGTGCTTCCAGACCACCGGGTCAAAGGGCTACGCAAGCGCCTACTCTCTTTACTCCAACACGGAGGCCTTCTGTAAGGCCGCCGTGCCGGAACTCAACTCCAAAGGCGTCGGTCACCAGGTCAGCCTCACCTACAACGCCAAAACGCCCGACGAGTCCGTGTGGACGGTGACGATGGACTCGGGGGCCACGTCTCTTGACGAAGCCTCCTGCAACGCTGCCGTCAACCGTATCTTGGACGGCTGCGACGGGAACGACCCCAAGAACCCGATGAACTGGAAGTTCGGGGGCAACTATGTCAACGGCGCCTTTACGTACAACATCGCCATGTCGCGCACGAACAGGCCGTATCCGGCGCCGACGGCACCTTCGGCCAAGTGCCAGGGGCGGTATAAGGCTGTGTTGACGCGGTATAATATTCGCGGGGCTGGGTGGGCAACCTGGGACTCCGGGCAGAAGACGCTGCGGCCGAATAGCACGCATTGCTTCGGGAAGGGCTTAACGGGGTGGTCATTCAAGTACTTCGATGAGCCGGATGAGAACGGGTATGAGTGGCTGGCCAAGTTTAACTCGCCGATCTGGACGGAGGCGAGGTGTTATTCTAATAATAAGGTGCAGAAGGCGGCGGGGGGCCCCACTGATGATGGGTGTCATTGAATCGATTTCCTTCATCTACTGCCTGTCAATAGCTTATAACCCATTTGCATTGCTTTTGTGCTGTATGTTCTTCGGAACTGGCGTCTAAGCCGGACGGTGGGATTCTACCCCGGTAGTGTTAGGCTGAGTACATTTCGAGACATCAGTTAATGCTGTTATGATATGCAATCCCGACGTGCAACCGACCGGGAGGCGATTTCAAATCTGCTAAGTTGGCGGCTAGGCCGTCGATACAAACAGCCCCGGGCGATGCAGAATCTGAACAAGGTGTCGTCAAAGTGGTACTGGTAAAGGAGGTCATGTCTGGAGGATATTAAAAACGCCTAGCCACTGAGGAATACTCATTGCCACCGTTACTGCGTTCCCTGTGAGCAGGCTGGCACAGTTTAATGGGTGCCCGGTGCTAACTTCGTAATCGATCTCTGGGGCCAACACTGGCAGTGACCAGGGTATGTACCTATGTATAGAACCATATAATCCCAACGCGCGGCGCTCTTTGATCAAAGCTGAATTCTCTCTGCTCCTTTAGTAATTCCCCCTCCTCCTATGGTCATATCTGAGATGATCTTGATGGAAGCTTGTTATGCAGGGGGAATAAATAACATGCTTACTCTATCCGGTCAAGAGATGATTACATCAGGTGAGTTTACTATGAGTTTGCGTTCGACTTAACCAGACTATTTATTATGCAGGGAACATGACATCCGAGAAGCTCAACATTTACACCTGCAACATTATCAAAGTCGTCAGTCAGCCCAGCAAAAGCAACCCCCGCACCGGCCCTGGGGTGGCTGCAGCATCGTTTCTACGTGCGGTCGGGCGGGGAGAAGGGCTGGTTTGCGGTGGTGCATCGCTCTGGGGGTGGGTTCGGGCAGCACTGGTGCTGGGCGTGAGGGATGAGGTGGTTGGGGGTAGATTGGTTTAACAGAGAAGGGGAAGAGGGGGGAAGGAAACAGTGTGCCCGTAATCGATATCGATGAGGATTATGAGGACGAGGAAGATGGCCGGGGGAGGGATGCTACCGTGGGGGTGTATCGGGATTTGAATTCGGATGAGGAGGAGAGGTAGGGTTAGTTACCTGTTATAATTAATTAAATTAATTAGATTAAATAAATAGGCTAAAACTAAAGAATATTACTATACTATAATTAAAAATATATTATACTTTGTATATTATCTGTATAAGGGGAATATATATATTATATGTTATGGGACCGAGGCCCTGTTATAGAGCTCGGCTTCAGGCACCAATTGACACCTGAGGCCTCGCATACCAAGTACTAAACTAGCACTAGCTTAGCGCACACATAAAAGAATTTCGTACGAACAGATGAAATAGCTCCTCAGCTATTTCTTCTTGTTCTAAGACACGTTTTGATTAGCATAATCCATCCGTCCCGTAACATTATAAATCAATCTATAGTTATCAATTTATCTACTATATCTAACTTTTCTAATCTGCAGATATAAACAGTTAAAGTAATAGTTATATTTTAATCTAATCTTAACTGTACAGTTAAAAATTTTTTATATTTTAACCTGACTGCCAGGTTATGGTCAGGTTAAGGTTAAGGTATAACAATCAGGTTAAGCCACTCTAGGCTAGGAACAGCAGGAAAAGTAGAAAAATTAAAAAAAGTAGAAAAAATAAATAGACTAAGTAAACCAGATATTTTAACGTTATACTATAATTTCTAAAGAGTTTTATTAGTTAAACAAAGCCTACAAAATATAGTATAAGTATATTCTACTGTAAGGGCCCTGCGAGCCTTTCCAACCTTCGCGGTTGATATCGCGAAGGAATGTATATAAAAAAGGCCTAAGGCATCGATCACGTGACCGCTAAGCGAGATGGTCGCGGGACCACCTAAGGCAGCGGCAGTCCCGCGAGGTTAGAGAAATCAGCAACAACACCTTAAGGCATAACACTACCATCTTTGGCTATCGCGATAAGACATTCGTCCACTACACTATTTCACCCCTTAGTCCTTATATCTACTAAGTAATATAGATTAGAAGGTATAAAAAACAGAATAATTTCCTAATCTAATCATTTTATAAAATCATTTATTTTATAAAATATATATTTATAGCTGTATATAAAAGGCATCTTACTAATAATATTAATACCTTAATTTCAATATTCTTAATAGTTTTATTTATAAGTAAAATTAATAGCTAGCTTTAGTATAAACCAGATTTCAGATATGTTTTATATAAATATAATAATTTAAGGAGAACTACTACTATAAGATCTTAATACTAATACGAAGTAAAAAAACAAAGATAAGTTTAGATTACTTAGAAATTTTATATATTTTAGTATAGTTTAAAAAGGAACTTTATACTTAAATAGGTTCTTGGCAGGTAATTTGTAGGTTGATATATCTAACCTGTAGGTTGGTGGGTTCGGGTCTTGGGTCCAGTTGTTACGGGACGGATGGATTATGCTAATTGAAACATGCCTTAGAACAAGAAAAAATAGCTGAAGAGCTATTTTGTCTGTTTGTATAAATTTTTTTATATATATACTAAGCTAGTGCTAGTTTAGTATTTAGTATATAAGACTTTAGATACTAACTGGTGCCTAAAGCCGAGCTTTATAACAGAATCTTAATTTTATAATAAAAGTCTTTTTTTTTTTTAGTATCTTCTGCAGCTTTTGTTTATATAAACAGCTGTTTAGGGTTTAGAGTAATAGTTCTATATTTTAGCCTTTTTTAAATAATATTATAGCTGGTTAGTAGATAGTATATATATAAATAAGACCTATATTACTTATTATAGCTCTTTTTTCTATACAAACCCCTTTTATCCAGTAAATATAGTAATCTTTTAGTAAATAAAATCTTTTTTTTCTGTATATTCTTTTTTTATCTAGTAAATAAAATCTTTTTTTATACTATTTATATAACTGGTTCTAAAAGTATGGTCAGGCTTAGCTATTAGTATTATATAAAGTATATAAAGTATTATATAAAAAGGCTACTCCCCCCTTCTTCTTAGCTCTTCTTTTTTTATATATCTTCTTTTTATTTTTTTTTATTACTAATTAGTTTTTTTTTTATCTATATAATTCCTATTGTTCCCTCTGCTTATTAATATTATACCTTTTTCTTCTAATACTAGGGCTGGTAAGCCTGATCACCCGGATAATATACTAGTTTTTATTTATTATAATCTTTTTTAGGTTTTTTTTACTTTTACTAACTGTAATTTGCTTTTTTTATTTATATAATATATAACTATTTATAACCCCCGCACCGGTAATACAGAGTACTAGGTTACTATATAACTAATAGTATATAAAAATAAAGCTTTACTTTAACTTTGCTATACTTCAGACCAGCAGTATATTTAGTGTTTTTTTTACTATAAATTTAAAATAAAGGTTGGTGCTTTTACTGTGGTTTAGATAAAAAAATCTAATAATATTTTTATATAAAATATTAATAAAATTAGATGCATACCGGACGCCTTTTTTATATTAACAGTCTTTTAATTATATTCTATAGTTTAGTAATACTATATTATTATAAGTATAATAATTAAATAAAGTTCCGGTAGACTGTACAGCTGTCTGAATAGTAGGGCGGGGTCTATATAAACTATAAGTTTAGAAAAAAAAAAAAAAAGGCCCCCCCCCCCCCTTTTTAGCTTCTTTTTTTTTTATATATCTTCTTTTTTTTTTTTATTACTAATCTGTTTTTTTCTTATCTGTATAATTCCTGTTATTTCCTCTGCTTATTAATATTATATTTTCTTTTTCTAATACTGGGGCTGGTGAGCCTAAATACTTAGATAATATACTAATTTCTATCTACTATAATTCTTTTTAGATTTTTTTTATTTTTACTAATTATAATTTACTTTTTATATTTATATAATATACAACTATCTATAATCTCTGTACTAGTAATATAAAGTGCTAAATTACTATATAACTAATAATATATAAAAATAAAGCTTTATTTTAATTTTATTATATTTTAGACCAGTACTATATTTAGTATTTTTTTTACTATAAATTTAAAATAAAGATTAGTGCTTTTACTGTAGCTTAAATAAAAAAGTCTAATAGTATTTTTATATAAAATACTAATAGAGTTAGATATATACCAGGCGCCCCTTTTATATTAACAGCCTTTTAATTATATTTTATAGTTTAGTAATACTATATTATTATAAATATAATAATTAAATAAAATTTTAATAGACTATACAGCTTTTTAAATAGTAGAGCAGGGCCTGTATAAGCTGTAAGTTTAAAAATTATAATATATATTATAGCTACTATAATCTAAATAAGTCTAAATATAAGCCTACAGCTATTACTGCTCTCTTTTAAAATATTATTAAAAAATTAGTAGATTAAATTAGTATATAAGCTGAATTTAGTATGGCGGTATTT